GTTCACATTTCTAAACCAGTGTTTTCAAATCTGTGGGCCATAGCCCATCAATCTTTGGATTGTGAAACGTTTGAAAAAGATTTTTTTGAAGTATACATATTATATTATGAACTTCATAATGTATTTACGTGGTCAAGTGTGAGCGTATACTGTTTCCTGAAATATTTTTCGGTTCTGCAGATCCTCTTGTAAGCATTAGGTTATGATGTGAAATGCGTTGTGGTGCTGAAGTCCAAATGTTGCTCTAGGCTGGTTCATTAAAATGCAGCTGCTATGATAAAACTTATCTCATGACCAGGGATGTTGGACTTTCCTTCTTTTTTTGGCTACAAGACTGTTTACAAAGACAAAATATAAGAGAAAAAAAAAGACTTGCCAGTTAGCCGAGGGTTTGTGTCCAAAGCATCCTTGAGCTATAGGCCCCAGGGTGCCAATGTGGGGTAGGATTCTTCAGAAACCGCGTGAGAGAAGCCTGGACTGTGCCCCTCCAAGCCTGTTTCTGGTCAGAGTAAGGAGACAACTCCCAACTGCTGCCTATATTCCGAGCACGGGACTCCCCGCTCACCCAGCCCCAGGTCTGCCCAGGCAGGTGAACACAGCGTGCTCTAGGCCACTGGCACAGGGCCACACTTCCTCGTGGCCTTAGGCTGTGTGACAAGTTACACTGAGGCACAGTGGCACTAACAAACATGAAACATTACCTTCCATAGTTTCTGTACGTCAGGAGCTGGAGAGTGGTGGAACTGGGAGGCGCTGCCTTTGGGGCTCCAAGCAAGTTGCAGTTAAGATTTGTAATAAAATACGTAATTAAAATTCATTTCACCCATTTTTTTGCCCTTTTTAAATGTGGCTGCTAGGGATTTTTAAATTACATATGCAGCTCACATTTTATTTCTATTGGGCAGCGCTTGCCTGGAGAACTGGGTTCTGCTACCAGCTCCTTTCAAGTGCTCTGTCTTGGATTTCCGGTTTCTGCTCTGAAAGTAAAGAAAGCGTTTGGAAGTCATTTTTCCTGCCCTCTCAACAATAGAAAACTGAACGAGCTGAAAGCCAACAGAGAATCAAGTCAGAGGACAAACTGGGGAGGTGGGACTATAGAGAATACAGGTCAGCTTTCCTGAGGCAGAAGTTGCTGGGACTGGTGCCCAGTAGGAGCCTGGTGGGTAATTGGGTGAATTTCTGGAGCTGAATCTAGCCTAGTTTGAGAGTTAAATACTCCTGGGGGCCCAGAGTAAGGTGGGGGTGGCCTACACTTTTTGTGGGGTTTGCCTTCAGGAGACCTACCAGATTCTCTCAGTGAATATCTTGGAGAAATCCCCTCACATTTGGCCAGGGGGAGGGGAAAAGTAACTATTCCAGTTAGCCCAGAGAATTCTCAAAAACAGAGGCCAGCCCAGCTGGTGAAAATCCACTGCCACAGCCTCCTCCATAGTGGAAGGAGGAAAATCACCCAGCTCCGTTCCCTTCCACCTTCCTGCCCCATGTAAGTGAAGGGCACAGCCCAGGGGCACAGGGGCACAGAAGTCTGAGACCTAATCCCAGGATTAGGGATGCTTTTCCTCCCATCATCCTCACCACCACACCTACAGTGTGCCTGTATAATGCAGATTACAGCAGAAAGAACTATAAAGCTTAGACTCTATTTCAGAAGCAGCTTCTAGGGAAACCAAGATATAACAGAGGAGACAAAAACAAGGTCACTAGAGGAAACTGAGGTCTCTGACATATACAGCCACAACAGACTAAGCACAGCCTACCTCTTAGACAGAAAAACATAAAACTTCATACTAAGGCCTGTTTACTTCAGTTTCTTTTACTCAATACAGCATGTCTGGGCGTGGATAAAACGAGAGTTCCTGTGGCCAGGATTCTCACCTGGCCCTGGTTGACTAGCTCATTGCACACCTGTGGGCAATACATGGCTGTTGACTCCTAAAAAAGAGCTCTGCTCAGTGCTCTGGGCACGACACAGTGGCAGTGCTGCAAGGCTGCAGGAGAGCAGAGGCTGGAGTGGTGGGAGCACTGAGGACAGAGGCCGAGAGGATGGCTGTGCATGATGACTGTGCAGAGAGGCCCGGAGGATGGCTATGCGGACAGAGGGGCCCAGAGGATGGCTGTGCAGACAGAGGGGCCCAGAGGACGGCTGTGCGGACAGAGGAGCCCAGAGGACAGCTGTGTGGACAGAGGAGCCCAGAGGCAGAGACCGGCTTGCTGCATGCAGACTCGCTCTAAGTGAACGGGATTTTAGTGACTGACCTGCCACCTGGAAATAAAGTTGGGTATAACCCTTTCACCCCAAGAATGTTTTGCTGTCATTTTCTTTGGTCACACTGAATCCATAGTGAACTTGCCCAGGGCTGAAACCCATTGACAAGACACTGGGTTTCAAGCAAAAATTACAGGCATGCTAAAAGGCAAACAAAAATACAATCTGAGGAGATAAAGCATTAGACTCAGACTCAGATATGGCAGAGATTTTGGCATTATCAGACTGAGATTTTAAAGTAACTTTGATTAACATGTTAAAAGCTCTAATGGAAAAGGTGGACAATATGTAAGAACTTCTCTGCGTGTGCTCATAAGGTGGAAGGGTGAAGGCACTCTCTGGGGGTCTCTCCTTATAGGGGCACAAATCCCATTCATGAGGGCTCCATGCTTGTGACCTAAGCACCCCGCAAAGGCCCCACTTCCTAATACCATCACATTGGGGATTAGGTTTCAACACACAAGCTTTGGGAGGGTTGCATATGTTCAGTCTACAGCGGATGGTTAAAAGATCAGTGGCTGCCAGGGTTTTAGGGGAGAGGTGAATAGGCAAAGCGCAGGGATTGGCAGAGTGGTGAAACTATTCTGTATGAAACTGTGATGTTGGATACATGTTTTTATGCATTTGTGAAAACTCATAAAACTATATAATGCTAAGAATGAACCATGACATAAACTATGGGTGTTAGTCAACAATAATGTATTGATATTATTTCCACAATATTGAGTTTTGAGAGTTCTTTATATGTTTTAGACACCAGTCCTTTGTCAGATATGTGGTTTGGAAATTATTCCAATTGAAAGTTATTCCAAAGATTCCGTTGTATGGATGTACCTCTAATGTGCCACACTCATTCAAGATGTTAATAACTTGGGAAATTCTGTATTAGATGCTGGGTGCTGGTGTGGGAATGTGTATATGGAACTACATGTAGTAGTTGCTCAATTATTCTGTAAAATTAAAACTGTACTAAAAATGAAGTCTATTAATTATTTTTAAAAACCTGAGTCTTATTTTTCATTATAAAACAGACTAGGTTATCGCATGTATTCCTGCCATCTGTAACGTTTCTGATTTCTACCTTTTAAATATACTTTATCTTTTAGAGCAATTTTAGATTCCTAGCAAAACCAAGCGGAAAGTACAGCGTTCTCATATGCCTGTCAAAACACTTGAACAGCTTTTCCCACTATCAGTATCCACAGTAGCGCATGTTACAACTGGTAAACCTACAAGGGCACGTCCTTATCACCTCATGTCCACAGCTTACATTACGTTTCACTACTGGTGGAGTAACTTTTTAGGTTTGACACGTGCGTAACTACTTGCATATGCGTAACTACTTGCATACAGCACTGGAATGTCACACAGAATCAGCTCACTGCCCTGAAAGTCCTTGGTGCTCCATCTATTTATTTGTCCCTCTTTCCTCCTAACCCAGTGGATATCTTTGTGGAACTGGAATAGTTCTGTGTCTTGATTTTGGTGGTGATTACACAAATCTATACATGTGACAAAATGACAGAACTATACACACACTTTCTACCAATGTCAGTTTTCTGGTTTTGATACTGTACTACAGTTACTTGAGGTGTAACCACTGGGAGACCCAGTGGAGGGTACATGGGGCCTCACTGTACTATCTTTGCAATTTCTTGTGATTCTGTAATTATTTCAAAATAAAAAGTTGAAAAGATTAGAAAAATCTATTAGTTCTCAAATATAATAGCACTGAACTGAGAAAGGTATAGAAAAAAGAAATGCAAGTTCCGTGGAAGCTCTCCATTATCACTTCAATTTGGACAGCTAAGCAAACATTGGTACTGTTTATGTATCACAGAGCAGAAGACCAAGTTAAAACAGAAAAAGAGAAAACCAACCCTGTAATGCGGTGAATTAAAAAACAGTTGCCTTTTTGTGTAAGCATCACCTGGAGTGATTTAAAGAGGGGCGGAAAACACAATGGGAATGTACTAACACAAATGCTCTTTCAAGAAATGAATTTTAAAATGCCTATTTCCAGTCCTTAAAATTATTTCCACTCCTTTGGCTCCAGCGGCAACGGGAAGCTCGGCAGTCAGCCCGGTAAGAACTTGAGCACAAACCGATTCCAGTCCCCGCGGTGACTCACAGGGGGGCGCCGGCTGTGCCAGGTAATCCAGCCACTCAAGACTTGACACTTGGTACGTGCTTGTGGGAGTGTTTTAGGTTTTTAGTTCACTTAACAGTTAACAGTATAGCCTTCAACGGGTATTTATTTCTGAGCGGGCAGAACGGTCTGCCCGGTGGCACAGAGACTTACACGTGCCGCCCGCCTGGCCCCACACGCGAGGATTCCGAGGGCAGAGGAAGGTCTGCAGACTGTCGCTCCTGCCAGTGTCAATCGTCCTCGCCCACGATCCCTGGAAAGGACGCTATCAAAGTTTACGGTTTAAGATAAAAGCGTTAGATGCTCGGAACCGTGGAGCGTTTTGTCCTTCCTTGGGCAAGAGTGCTTTTACTAGAGGGGCTCAAGGAGGGGCTCTGAGGCGCCCCAGAGTCCCAGGCGGGCAGAGGCTGCAGATCTGCCCGGCCTCACCCTCCGGAAGCTCTCGGGTACTAGCGGGCCGCCGGGGCTGCCGCCCGACCCCGCGACGGCGAGAACACCGGCAGGGACTTCCCAGAGGAAGATGGCAGCCGCGCGACGCTCTCCCGCCGCGGCTGCGACTCGGTGGCCGGAAGTCCTCCCGCCCTCGCGGGTCGGAAGCGGAAGGAAAGGGCGGTCGGCCGCTGGGCTCTGGCGCTGCGCGGCCGGCTTGGGAGCTGAGCCGCGGGAAGGGCGCGTGTCGACCGCTCACTGGCGCAGCCGCCGCCGCTGCCGCCCCGCCCCGGCGTTGTCGCAGGCACAGTCGCGGACGAAGCGCGGCCCGCCATGGGCAGGAAAGGGGACGCGGGCGGCGCGAATGCCGTGGCGGCGCGGCCGGTGACAGGTACCCCCGGGCGGCGTGGGGAGGGCTCGTGGGCGCCGAGAGGGGCCGGGCAGGAGGCGACCCCGTGCCCCGGTCACCTTGAGCGTCCGTCCTTACCGGCCTCAGGTTCCACTCCCGTGCCCGGCCCTGCCCCACTTGCGAGTGCCCCGACTTGTCCGTCAGTGCTCGTCTGGGCGAGGGACCGTCTGTGCGGGGGGCCTGGGGGCTGCCCTGGACCTTCGCGGACGCGCGCGACACCCATGTGGCTCAGGGCTGCTGGACGGGGGGAACGTGCCCTGCCTTAAATTCTGACCAAGCCTGACCCTAAGTAGGTTGAGAACGTGCATTCTGCAGGACTCTCATTGGAGAACGACTTGATCTTTTTATAGGTTTCTGTTTCCCCTGAAATTCGGGGGGTGCACAAAGGTTGCGGTTTTCATTTAATACCAGGATCTGTTGGCTGCAAATTGAATGATCTGGTTTCACTTTCAGTGTGGGACCTGCCCGCAGAGTAAGATTTGCGTACCTCGCCCATAAATTCTGGATGTGAACTTGTTCTGTTCCTTGGCCAGAATCTCTACAGTATTTTACATTTCTTGCTAAATATGAGAACTAGCATATTTTGTTCATTTTGAGTGCTGGGGTCTTACGCCTTACTGTGCTACTCTATTTTGGAAACCACCGTGCACTGGCCTGCCAGTTTTAGTGTGATATTTGAAGACATTTTAAATAGCTTTTAAACGACACCACAAAGTTTGGGATGATTGTAGCCCTTCCACTTGCCTTACTTTTAATAAATTTAGCTGAAACTCATTTTTATTAAAGGAAATATTGCTTTGTACGGCAGCGTGGCACCTTTACAACACATGCTTAGCTTGAGGGGAATAGAAGAACTCTTGTAGAAAATTGTTAGACTTCTGCAGTTACTTGTAATCATTTTCACATCAGATGTATAGGAACTACTTTTATCAGAAGTTAGATCTGTGTAGTTCACAACAAATTTTTTTTGCTAATAGGTGTAAGTGTATACTAAGTTTAATTATATGAGAAGTCAATTTATTTCTCTAAAGGGTACTTCCTGTTATTTTTACTCGCTATAGCTGTTGTCATGTGTGTTGAAACTCAGATGGCTAGCAGGGTGCAAGTTATTTTTAAAGTTTGTTAGCTCTGATAAAAAAATATAATTAGGCAAAAAATGTTTGTTAGCTCTGATCTTCAGTTTAGAAATGGAAAAAAGAAAAAGTTGGTGATGACTTAGAATTTTATGCCTGTCCTGTTTTCCAGTTGTGAAAAAAGCATTTGCCATAATGTAATTTTAATTAATATTTCTAATATCTTAGTGAAGTTCAGTGACTTAAACTAAGGAAACTGGGCCCGAGGCTGGATCTTACAGATGATACATTTGGGCCTAGAATGTGTTAAAGTGTGCTTTTAATTTACCTGCCATACCACAAGCATTATGGGTAGGATCACGCAATGCCACATTGCAGACTCTGACAGCTATTATTTCTCTGACTATTCATCTCTGTAAGCAACATTTAAGGGCCACTAGGGTCAGACTGATAGGAGATCTTGTCAAATGAAGGCGTCCTCAGTTAAAAGGCCACTTCAGTGAGGTTCTTCAGCGTCTCTGGACAACCTTTTCCTCTGGCATTACCTGTGGCCTCAAGGATGTATTGGCAGGGTGGGAAGGCTCCTCCCTGACGTACAGCTTTGCTCCCTCTCTCATCTCTAATGGTGCCGAACCTTGCCCCAGAACTCTTGCCTATTGTTAAAACTCTTTGTCTATTGCAAGAGGCACTGTGGGGAGTCAGGGCACACAGTTTTCCGATGTCTCAGACGTCTTTCCTCTCGGTGCCCCACTTCCTTTATTCCCGTTGCTTTTATCCGTCCCTTAAGTGAAGCATTACTCGTTTATTTTATTTTGGGTGCTCTCTATGTTCCAGGCATTATGTGAGGCATGTGGCTGTGACAAAATTCCCTGCTCTGAGGAGCTCACATTCAGTCCCTAAAGCCAGCCTAAATATGGATCTGTGAGGCTGATGGTTGGCTTGGGTCCCAGCATCAGGCCCAGAGTTTCAAGTGAAACTGTCCCTCTCTCAGCTACCTGTGTCCCAAGGAATCCGCCCCTAGAAAAGTCCTTCTCAAAAGAAAGCCCTCTGTCACTTGGGGTCTGCAGAGTCTGAGGCCCTAACCCCTTGTACAGCCAGAGCACCTGGGGAGGTAGCCTGGCTTTGTAGGACTTCAAAAAAGGCAGATGTGGGTTCCAAGCATTGCTGGTCATTAGTCAGGCAAGTTAGTCAGCTTCTCTGAGCTTCCATTTTCTTCTTGTTAGAGCAGGAGTGACAGTGTGTCATCATTATGCAGTGTGTTCACAGACAGTATACTGTCTGCCAGGCATGTGCCACTTGCTGTGTGAACAGAGTAGACACGCTGCCCTCCAGGACCTGCTGAATCCTGCGTTGTGCAGCGGGCTGGATAACGTCAGGTCTGCACGGCGCCTCTTACGGTGCTTTGCCCAGAGTGACTGCTCAGTAAATGCTGAGGGTCCCTCAGGGAGCTTTTTTCCTCCCAGCCCCCGGGCCACTCCACGCATGCAGTCAGCCTGGGTTGCTTTGCAGTGCTTTAAAATTTCTCATCTAGAATCACCCTTTTGGGGGGCGGGGCCCCTTCAGGAAAAATTGTAAACATTCTGCAGCATAATACTGTGTGAACATAGGTCATATTCTCTGTCTCTGCTGTAGAAACTTAGTACCTTTTGGGGAGGACTCTTTCTCCCAGCCAGAGGCTATGTTTCCAAGTATTTTTGAGGTTCTGTGATAATGTTGGTGTATTATTCTGTGGTTTAGAAGGTAGTGTCTTTTCTTTAGGGAAACATTTTACTGGCACAATGCATTCTGGTGTAGTACTTGGCCCTTTAGGAAGTGATTTTCATAGCGCCTGCCTTTTCATTCCCACAGTGACCCCGTGAGGCAGATACTGTTACTCCTCTTTGAGAATCTGGGAAAGTCGGGGTCAGAGAAATTACTAGGTGACTACTAGTTAAATTGCTAGTGAGTAGCAGCCTCAGAAATTGCTCCCAGGTCCCTGACTGAAAGGTTTTCTCTGCCCGCGAACCATGGTTTGTGCTGCCAGGCGGAGTGGTGTGTGGGGCCGCAGCCCGTGGACCTGCAGGGCGCGGTGTCTGAGAGAGTTCCTGAGTGCTTGGAAGTTGAATAGAGAAGTTTGGGTCTTTGCTTACTCCTTTGCAAGAAATGTCGGCAACTTCTGCTACATTCCTGAAGTGACGCCCCCTATTCTCCTCCCCCCAACAAGAGCGGCTTTCATTGTCAGAGGTCTAGTTTGGTAAGCCCAAGTCTTCACAAATGTTAATATATATATTTTTAGTGCCTTTCTGGGGCAAAGTTTTTTTTTAAATTTATGTATAGCTGATATACAGTATTGGTTTCAGGTATACAACATAGTGATTCAACAGTTATAGACATTATTGGATATTACATTTTTTTTCAGGTGACTTTGTTTTCAGTGGAATGTAGGGAGTGGGGTGGGGTGGGAAGTGTTCCCGTGGGCCATGCGCCGGCAGGGAAAGGGCCACCCTAATCTTCCCGGGATAGTTTTTGCACCTTCTTTTCCTGGAGCTCTTGCTCCTGCTGCCAGCAGCCTTTTCAGGGCCTTATTTGTAAACATACTAAAGTTTTGTTCCCGAAGAAGCTTGCAGTGCCTGAACTTAAAATTCTTTTGAAGGCAACTTTCCTATTTGGTATAGATTTTTTGTTTTTGACCATTGTTCTTTGGAGATACTGTGTGTTAAATGAAGCAGGATATTGACACAAATAATGCTTTTTGTAAAAAGATGATACTAACCGGTACCCCAGTATGAACTGTCCCCCCTGCTGTAAATTTTATAACCAGTATTGAGAAACTGGGGAGAGCCTTGCTAGACACAAATACTCAGAAGCACAAGTGTGGTGTAGTATTTCCCACATACACATGTCCCCTTTCGGTTCCCCTTCAAATGGGTGGAACCTGGATGCTACTTAATGTAGCCCAGGGGGGACGTCTGGATAGGGTTCTGTTAGGCTGACTCCAGGATGAAAAATCAGAGCCCAGTAGTCTGCAGCTGGAGACCTTTTTCTGAAAGACCCTGTGAGATCTTGGTGTGCTTGGCGAGGCTGCTGCTGGGATTCAGGAGGCCTGCCTTCTATGGCCGTGCCGATGTACTAGGACCCCAGCATCCTTACATATATGATAGAAGGGGACCTGCTGGTTCTCAGATTTCCTCATGTCAAACCTGTATTTGAGTGTACATTCGAGACCCAGTGTCTTAGCTTCCTAGGGCTGCTGTAACAAAATGTCACAAACTGGGTCGCTTAGAACAACACAGTTTATTGTCTTAAAGCCTCAGAAGCCAGGAGTCCTAAATCAAGGTGTCCCTGGACTGTGTGCTCTCTGAAACTTACAGGGAGGATCTTTCTTTGTCTCTTCCAGCTTCTGTAGCCCCAGGTGTTCCGTGGCTTTTGGTATGATTCTGAGGTGTGCCTCTGTCTTTACCTGCATTCTCCGTGTCTCTCACTTAGTCTTCCCTCTGCATGCCTGTTTCTGTGCCCAAATTTCCCTTTTTTAATAACACTGGTCTAAGGAATTAGGGCTCACCGTAATGACCTCATTTCCCTTTGATTACCTCTATGAAGACCTTACTTCCAAATAAGTTCACATTGTGAGGTACTGGGAGTTAGGACTTACACATCTTCTTGGGGGCACAGTTCAGCCTGTCACACCCATCATATGTCTTGCCATCAGTCAGCTTTATTTACTCCAGGGCTTCCTAAGTATGATCGTGTGCAACCTGCTGTGACCCCAGCTGACCTCATACAGTGCTCAGCAGACCAGGTGCCCTGGGAGGTGCCGCGGAGCCTCTAGGGGGAGGAGTGCAGTGGTGACCCGCACACCTTTAGTTAGGTATCGCTCACTCAGCAAATATCTACTGAACGTTTTAGATAGGAGGAGCTGTTATATTCAGAAGCGTTTCTGTTTTTCTGTAGTGTTCATGTTACTTTGTGTCTCTAAGTATTCAGACTCAGGTTTAAACATTTCCTTGTAGTAAAACTTTTTTTTTTCTTTCCCTTTATAGGGGTTTGCTGTAAAATGGGACTTCTGTTTATACTCACTGGACTATGGCTGTTTTCTTCAGTAAAGGCAGATTCAAAAGCCATTACAACCTCTCTTACGACAAAATGGTTTTCCACTCCATTGTTGTTAGAAGCCAGGTAAGAAGACTTATTTTTCCTTTCACATGTTTGAGTAGAAATGTAGGCTCTGCTGGTGAATACTCAGGAGCTTTTTAGGCAGTAAGATTGTCACCATCACATGCATTTAGTCAGACGCTTTCAGAGCATACTGTACTGTGTGCTCATCAGAGGCTTTTAGAACATAGACTCTGACAGTGGGGTAGGACTGTGTGGGCTCGTAAGATTCTTAGGGGCTTTTTTTGACAAATATATTGCAGCAGTTAAAGTATCTTGTTATTTTTCAGGAAAAATATAAACATGATAATAAGGGAAGAGAGTTCTACTTAAAGGAAATTTATCTGGACATTTTGAGAGATGTTTTAAGGAACAGGAAAGAGCTTGGCAAGGTGTGGGAAAGAGGATGTGCCCCTCCTACGAACTTGAAAGAAGACCCCAAGATAAGAGAGTGCAGGGGGAAGCTGAGGAAATGGCCAGATTTTATCTCTTGTAAGATGCATTTTAATCAAATCAAGATGTTACCTTTAAACAAAAATTGTTAGCAGTTTTCATTAGTGTTTCATAAAACAATGATATGTCTTAAAATCAACAGTGTCTTAAAATTGATAAAATATATGATTTTTTGGGAAATTACTTTTTAGGTAGTGTTCATAATGTAAATATAACCAGATAATACCTATTTTTCAGTCAATTTTTTGTTTATAAATAGACAGTTTACTATATACTCAATACATAGCTAGGACCTGCAGAGAATGTTTCTAAAGCATACATCTCAGAATTTGATAGTGCTAGAAATTTTCTGTTGCATTACTTCAGTTAACTTTGGTGTCTGCCATTATGATCTTCAACTTAGCATTTCATCTTCTAACATTTTCCTCTTAGTCCCTAGAAAAAAGGGCATGTTATGTGGCTTGTGTTACGCATAGTTGCATCTCCTGAGGAGGAGCCTCATTTGGTTTGCTGAGAGGGCTAGTGGGAAGGTGGGACACGTAGGAGGTGGTCTTGACTTGCTGAGCAGACTCCCAGACTTCCTGCCATCCATGCCTCCGTTTCTCTGTGCCTCCCTTTTGTCAGCAATAAAATCGCAACACAAAGCCAGCAACACCCGGACAAACCCCTGCGTGTGTTTCAGTGATGTTGTAAAAACTAGTTTGCTAAGTGGATCCAGCTCCTCAAATGGCAGAACTTATTAGATTTAGGGTGGTTCTAAAGTGAGGGGACCGAAGGCTGTTCGGGGCTGAGCCAGGACCATAATAACTAAACTTGTTTTTTTCCTTTTTGCTAATCTTATTTTGGATGATTCGTCTGGTGTAGATCCAGGTCATTGAGATTTACCCTCACTCTGTGGACACTTCTGTGCAGTTAACTGACAGATGTTTGATGATATTCTGCTTAACATTTTTAACTGAATTACATCCTGTTATTCTCTCACTGATTTCCTGGTTTCTGTACCTTGTTGTAGAAGACTCTTGTGACATACACTTAGGGACTTCTGAGAAAGTATGCTAAATTGTCAGCCTTTATTGGTCAGTTGTTCTTAGTTCCTTTGATTTCTGAAGTGAGTCTTGTACACGTTTCCTTCATCAACTTCCCCATCACAGACATCACCCCTTTTCCTGACCTCTTGGCCATTTGCTATTTGGGTTCCCTCTTTTAGTCCTCCTCTGAGGCCATTTGCAGAGATTGCCAAGGTAATGGGACAAGTAGGGAACCCAGAGGAGCTGTGCTTATGTGGAACCACTCCCCGTTCACCTCCAGAGCCGGTTGAGTCCCCCATTCTTCCCTCCCAGGTCTGCAGCCAGCATTGCTGGGGGGTCGCAGCTCTGTCTATTCGGGTGAGGGCGAAGGGGTAGAATTCTCCGCATGTCAAGGAATGTGGTTACCACAGACCTTTTGCCTTCCTTGCATCTAGCTTGGAGGGACTAGAAATACTCCTGTGTGTATTTTTAGACTGGGCCTGATGCTCATGAGGGGGCTGGAGCTTTGTGATGGTCCATGAAGTGATGTATATGGACCTGAAGTAAATCTCTGAATGTATTCGAGCAGCTATAGTTACTAACAGGAATACTGTGTAAGTAAAGTACTATTACTAATATTGAAACCAATCATCATTTATCAAGTGCCAGATGTTAATAATGGCCCACAAATGCAGCCTGACAGAGCTATGAATCAAATAGGAGTTTACGTTCCAGATTTCTCATGAACACTTCTATGCCCTTAAGCAAGTTAATAACCTCTTTGAATTATGGTTTTTTATTCTGAAAATGGTTATCATTCGGGGTGGCTATGAGGACTTAAGGACACAGATGAATATGTTGAGCTCAGTGCCTGTCACACAGTGACCCCTCCTTAGATGCTTACCTTCTACTAGTTCTGTGTAGAAAGAGGACCAGTGGGGACCTCCCACAGTAACTTTACTACTACCAAATTTATGCTCCCAGGAGGATATTCAGGTTGTTTCCAGCTTTTTACTTTTGCTGTAGATTAAAAATTTTTGTGAAGACATTTCACAACACCTGTTAAGTGGAGAGAATGTGCCCTCCCCTACCTGTCAGCCAGTTTTCACAGTTATCAACTCAAGTTTAACAACCATGACCACCATTACCCTCCTCCCTTCCCCCATTGGAATATTTTAAAACAAATCCCAGAATACCTTAGAATTTCTTCTGTAAAACTATAGATTTTTTTTTACTCAGTGGAATAGGTATAAGAAGCCAAAAAACAGTTTAAAACAAAAAGCAAACAGACTTAAGTATACTGTAAACAATGGCAGCATTCCTCTTAATAATATCTCACATTGTTCTTACCTTCCCTGGATTAGTTCAGGGCATCTAGCAATTTTCTTAAGATTGTTTGAAACTTAAACATTGTGAGACTCATTTATGTGGGGGATGCTAAAGAAGGTGTTTCAAGACGTTTCCCTGAAATTTGGAAAACATCTATTTATTTGTATATGGCCTTTACAGGAGGGTCTTAGCTTCAGTGAATCCGTGTTATCACCGCTCCACCTGATGAATGTGTGTCCCTCCTCCCTTCTGCCAGCCTGAATTGTGCATGCAGCCTTCATTTATGAATTTAATGTTTACTAACATTTCATAATTATCTGTTTAGGACCTGTTTTTTTAGCTATAAGGTATTATAAGGTTGTTATGATGCCTCTGTTACTAGAAAGCCTAGAAAAATGTCATACTCAAGGAAGCACTAATTTAATACATTATAATAATGGATGTTTTCAGAAACCTATTTTTAGAGAAGCTGTGCAATACCAGGAAATGTTTCTTACTTTTCCCATATTTCTGTGTCTAGCTGTGGAGTAGAGTGAGAGTTGTACACTCCATGTTGACAAGTAATGGGAAAGCCTTTCTTTGGCTGGTAAGCTGAGACCCAGATCTGTAGTTTGCTTTAAGGCAGTGAAAGATCGCCACTACATCATTATTATGTCTGGAGGAGAAAAATAGCCAGTTTACATGAATCATTCAATTAGTACATGCGTTTTCTTATAAAGATTTCAGACTCTTGAATGAAGGGAAAGTTAGAATGGCCATTACTTTAGGTCAGTAGTGTAAGGTCAAGAAGAAAAACTAAGATGGCATTAAGTCCTTAGACCTGATATTATTGGGTCAGTGCTAACTTAAAACTTGGTGATCTTGAAAATCTGCATTTATGGATGTTAAAGGATTACAACATGCTGCCTTTAACCTCAAAAATTTTTCTAGGGTTTATGTTTTCCTTGGGAGAACTGAGGCAAACTTTTTTTTTAAGTTCTTCTTAAGGTCTTTCAGAAAATAAGTGAGCAGAACTGTCCTAGAATTATCAGCGCCTCATTCTGCTCCCACTGGTGCCAGAACTGTCACCAAGGGGTTTCCTAAGCTTTCCCTATATTGGGACTTCCTGTACATTATGATTCTCATTTCTTAAGGACATCTAGGAAGCTATTAAGTGAATGAGCTACTAAGCTAATTAGTTCTTAGTAGCTAATAAGCTATTAAGACTTGCTTATCATTTAAAAAATACATATTATACATGCTTAAGTATAATATATGAAATAAATTCAAAGCCAAACTATGGACATTTAGAAACTTAAAAACCTATTTCTACTCTCTTTAGTACTATAGCTTATATTAGAAGATTTTATTAAGTTGTTTTATTTCTGATATTTCCCCCTTTTCTCCCAGTGAGTTTTTAGCAGAAGACAGTCAAGAGAAATTTTGGAATTTTGTAGAAGCCAGTCAAAAAATTGGATCATCAGATCATCACGGTAAAATTGAAGCAAATGTTTCTTTGACTTTGGTGTCTGGGAAAGTAGTAGAAAAACAGTCTCTTTCACGGTATGTGTGGCATGGTGGTTAATGGAAGACATTTTTATCTTTAATGACTAGATTTGGGTGGTAGCCAGCAGAGCCAACACAGACTAATACGTACTTTTGAAGCAGTTTATAACGTTGGCTATAAGCACTACCTGTGATCTACCACCCCCCTTGCTTTTGTTCTTTTGTGTTATTTATTAAAAGTGGAAATCAAATTCATTTACAATCATTTAGTATTAACTTAATAATCATCAGATTTGATTCATTCTTTTTTTTGTTATGAACTAATTACACAACTGATCTATTATCTGTTACATTTGTTATCATTAAGTTAGTGCCATCCAAAATGTTTTCCATTATGCTTACCAGCCACCCATAACTTGAGTGTCAAGGTGTCAAATTAATGACAGTGTAAACTGTATCACTGGTTTACAGTTTATGCTATGTTTTCACATTCTCTAATTCAATATAAGCTATATAGAGTATAAACATTAATAGTCAAAGATGCTAGTACACGTGTCTAAAACCTTGAATACTACATCAGCAGGTATAAGAACTTGTTGAAGAAGAAATGTGTGGATATTGTGTGACTGCCAGTAATATTTAACTGAATTGATTTTTATTAAAATAATACATATTTTGAAAGTCAAGTCTGATTCTTGTTTTTGAGATGTAGGTATGTAAAAGTTTGAACAAGCATCTGTAAGTTTTAGTTTTGTAATTTAGAATCAACTAGAGTTGAGTTATCAAAAATATTTACCTTTAGGTTATGATTTCATAAAACTTAACAAAATGGGTTTATAATGAAATTTGAACTCTGATATTTAAAATGAAATTTCATCAGTATTAATGATAATCAGTATAATATATTCTTGGTGAAAGTTAGGGGAGTGTAAATTCTGGGAACTCATCATAAAAGTATGTTAAACAGTTTTCCTGAAATTTTCATAGTCCCATCACCCAAAGATAGTCACCATGAATATTCGGGCCACATTGTAAGGTATTCCTTTTTGGTCTCTTTTTCTATTTAGAAGATGCTAATGTAGTATAGAACTTTTATATTTTGCTTTTTAAAATGTTAATATTTTTCTTCAAAAAATTTCAATAGGAAATATGTGATTCAAAAGTCAAGCTGTACGAAAGCCTATGCACAGAAAAATTTTGTTCCATCCCTGTCCTCATTCCTTCCATTTTTCTCCCTGCTTTTTATAACAATTTAAAGTAGTTTAGCCTTCCATGTTTTTTTAAAAATTATAAATAGATACATATGTATTCTTTTCATTCTCTCTTACAGTGTAAATTTGCTACATACATTGTTTTGTACCTTGTATTTTTCCTTTAACAGTACATCTGGGGATTTTTTTGTACTGATACATGTTGGTTTTCTTCCCTCATACAGTTTTTTCCAGTTGTTTCCTTAATTCTTTCTCCCCAAACTACAGTTTCATCACTATCTTTTAATACTTTGTACTTCCTCATCACACCGCTCAGTTTTGTTGGGTTATTTGAGTAGATAGCATGTACTAGGCATGGGGAAAACAGAGATAAATAAGTCATACCTTCTTTGTGCGGTGGTTAAAAGATCATGTGGGGAGGGGTAGACAGTGAATTTAGTAAATAATGTGATGAGTGAAAGAGATAAGCAAAGAACGGGAGCTAAGTAAGAGGAGGTCTACCTGGTGTGGTGAGGCATGGCAGGGGCTGCAGGTGACTCCCCGAGTAGGTGATCGCGTCAGGTACACCAGTAAGGAAGTAGGTAGGCGTCCTAACGGGACATCAGCAGTCTGAGGAGAGGGAGAGGTCAGAACAGAAGAAGTCAGAGAGAGTGCAAGTGCATTGAACGTGCCGGGAGTGCTCGGCATGCCGGCAGGTGTAGTGCTGAAATGCTGCTATTGTGCACTTCATGAACGATCTTATTTGGATGTCTCTAGTCATGCGTGGTTATTTTGGTGAATCTTCTTCCTCGGCAGGTACTGATTATTCCTATTATCAGGCAATATTGGAAGCTGCATTTCAGTTTCTGTCACCTCTGCAGCAGAATTTGTTGAAATTTTGTCTGTCTCTTCATTCTTACTCCGCTACCATTCAAGCCTTCCAGCAGGTGAGTTCAGTACTTAACGGTTGACAGTATTTTTCAGGGGTTGTACCAGTGATGATTGGCTCTGTTTCAGTTGTCCTGGTGTTGTGTTACGGAACTGTATCATTTCTGCCTGAGGTTTTTCAGAATTTGTTTGTTTATAAATATTAAGCAAAGCTGGTAGAATATCTTTAAATCATAGATGTTTTACAAAAAAATTAGTTTGTACTTATTTCACTTAAGAAAAACAGAATATCCGCACAAAAAAGAAACTACCAGTCTTCATTTATGTAACATCGCCTAGGAGGTGTGGTCTTGCTAAACCAGTTGACCCTGAATCCGATCACAGCCTGGTGCTCCAAGAGCAGTTCACAGGTAATGGAAGGCACGGGAAGTATGAGGCCCATCACAGGGATCACAGTCAGGAAGATCCAGAGACTGTAGTAAGATGATCTGACTTCTTCAACAGATAAGTTATAAGGAAAAGGAAAGAGGGAAGAGGAACTTCAAGAGACTTAAAAAATATGTGGACTTAATACCAACGTGTGGTTCTTAGTGGATTTTGAGTTGAACAAACTTCCATGTAAAAAAAAAAAAGAGAATCAAAGATGTGTATACTGATTGTGTATTTCATATAAAAGAAATGTTAGTTTGCAACCTCTTTTTAATCACAAACTATGACAAGTAGGAAACCACTCGCCGCAAATAGGCAGTATAGTGAAGTCTTACAAAGTGAGCACTCCAGTCGTTCCCTGGGTCAGGAGGGAGAACGTAGCCAGTCGCCTGGGAGGCCCGTCCTGTGCCGTGACCCACCACTGCTGCCATTCGCCCTTCAAAGGAACTTCTCCCTCAGCTCTGTTGGAATCCCCTGCTGTGTGTGTGTGTTTTTAAGTTCTTGTGGCAGATGTGCACAGTCACCACAGATACAGTCCCTGCAGAGCCTTCACTCCCCCTGGTACGCTGGCTCAGGCCCCCCTCTGCCGGTGCCAGTGTCACCCTGCGGGCCCCCCTGCCCTTCCTCATGGCTCTGCTGCCCTCTCGCTGTTTCCTTGAGGCCTTTTCTCCTTGTGCAGCCCACGTCTTGCAGTCTGGGTTTGGGTTCACTTTTCTTTGCACAAATTCAAAGAATCGTCAATCGTGCCACAACCAGCTGTCCTGCCACCACCAAAGTGGGGTCTCAGTGCAAATACAAAGATGACATCAGGTGTGATTTTGTATGTTTTGGCTGGTTTTTCCCGAATTTCTGTTGTAGGTACTGTTGCCTTCCAGGTGGAAGGATGTCAGCGACCGTTGGTTTCCACTGAGTGGCTGGTTGGTTGCGCACTTCCTGGTGGGGGGAGTCGCTGTGTGGTTCATGGTGGTGGTGGGTCTTCAAGCAGGCAGAGAGGAAAAGAGCGTGCTGTGTGTTTATTTTATTGCCCAAGAGTGCATCTCCACACTGTAGAGTTTAGTCTGGCCCAGTTTTAAAAAGCTTGATTTTTGGGGGACTCATTCATAACTTACAGATTCTCCCTCTACCCCTTTATTTTCTCTTGAATAACTGGGGCTGTTTGTGCCATGCATTTTTGTACAGTCTTTCTTTTGTTGATCACATACTCATGATGCAGTTCAGTTTATTCCTCTGTCCTCTGTTCCTTGTGAATTGGTGGCTGGATCCAGAGGCTTGTCAGAATTGAGTTCCATCCCGTTGGTAAGCCTGAGGTTCCATTAATATGGACCTGGGTTGTTTACTTTTTGATTCAGCAGCCTCTACTGCTCTGAGCTTAATCCATTAATTCTTTGGGGGTTGTAAAGTGGTGACTCTCTCATTCTGTCATTTCCTTTGCATTTGTTCCCAGAGCCCGGGTAAAGAGGCACATATCCTCATCTGGTCCTGTTTTGGGGTTTTGTTCGCATAGAGAAGGCAGAATCCATGCTTGATTCTTTCTCTTTATTTACTAGTTTTCATGAGTTTGATTGACTACTATCCTTTTACTTTAACCACTTAGTTTTTGTTTCAGTTTTTTTATTGTGGTAAAATATACATAAAATAGAATTTATCATCTTGATGATTTTTAAGTGTACAGTTCAGTCGTGTTAAGTGCGTTCACATTGTTGTGCAACTGTCACCACCATCTGTCTTCACAACTTCCTTCACGCAGAACTGAAACTGTCCCCATCAAGCAGTGACTTCCCATGCCCTCACCTCCTCCCCAACTCCTGCCAGTCACCACTTTCCATTCTCTGTGAGTTCGCCCGTCTAGACACCTCATGTCAGTGGAATGCACCGTCATAGGGCGTGATGCAAGTCGGCTGGTGGTGGGCTGGGGACGCCTCGAATACTAGTAACATGTCTGCTTGCGATGGCACATCCCCTCCGCGCAGCTCTTGCCCCCAGTAGTCACTGAGTGGCACCGGGAGGCCAGCAGGGCCTTCGGCTCTCCCAGACCCTTGGTGTCGGCTGATCCAGGAGCTGGGCAGGGGCAGAGGAAGAGTTCAGGTGGATGGCACAGAACGCTGAGAATAAGAAAGCTCTCCTTTCTTTCTTTTCTTGTTGATTTTTAAGTATTTCCTCTTCCTTTCACCTTCCATTTCTCTTAAGTCATTACTTACTATATTTATTTTTGTGCTGCTTCTTGTTTAGTCTTCATTTCTAAAGTGATTTTTCTTTTACTTCTGATTTTTCTTGAGTCTTTTACCTCACTTCTCAATTTTTCTAATTCTGACTTAGATTGTTTCTTATGTCTAATATAGTTTTCTTAATGTATGTAACGATAGGTCACATTTTGATGTGTCTGCCCTCAGTGTATTTCTGAAATGGTTTCATTGGCTGTAGCTGTTCTGTTTAGTATGGTAGCCATGAGCCGTGTGTGGCTATTTAAATGTAGATAATTAAAATGAAATGAAATTAAAAGTTTAGCTCAGTGACATAAGCCAGTCCGAGAAAGACAAGTACCAAATGATTTCCCTCATCTGTGGAGTATAACAACAAAGCAAACTGAAGGAACAAAACAGCAGCAGAATCACAGACTCCAAGAAGGGATTAGAGGTTACCAAAGGGGAGGGGTGGGGAGGGCAGGTGGGGAGGGAGGGAGAAGGGGATTGAGGGGCATTATCAATTAGTGCACATAATGTAGGGGGGTCACGGGGAGGGCGGTACAGCACAGAGAAGACAAGTAGTGATGCTGTAGCATCTTACTATACTGATGGACAGTGACTGCAGTGGGGTGTGTGTGGGGGGGCTTGATAATATGGGTGAATATTGAAACCACAGTGTTGCTCCTGTGAAATCTTCATAAGATTGTGTATCAGTGATGTCTCAATTTAAAAAAATTAATAAAATAATTATAAAAGCAAAAAAAAATTTAGCTCTTTAGTTGCATTAGCCAGATTTTAAGTGCTCCATAGTCACCTGTAACCAGTGGCTCCCATGTTGGACAGGCAAGTGGAGAAGATTGCCGTCATTGCAGAAGTTGCTGTTGTACAGCACTCGGCTGTAAGAGTATGGATTCACTCTGTCCTTTTTCCCTTCTTTCTTACAGTAGCTTTATGTGGGATTTGACATCTAGACTTTTCTGCTCCTCTTGATGTGAAATTAGTTTTCCTTAACTTACAGAGATTGGCAGGGCTCTGTCCTCCACCTTTTTTATGTAGAGTTATAAAAGCTGGTGCCTTAAAAAAAATGATAGCTTGGTTTTTGAGGCTTTTGACTCTTTTCTCCTGTTCTCTTATTGGACTTTCTCTCTCACTGTCTGTGTATCTTTGTGCCACTCAGGTTTCATTCCCCGCTTAGCGTTTCCTCCTTAGGGTTGCACCCTGTCCCGGGGAGTCCTGGATGTGACTTCTGAGTTTTAAAGCTGAGCTGCCCTAACCCCTGTAGGCTTCCCCACGGACTCCTTGTGCTCCCCTGATACTACCTGGAACAAAACGCACCGGCCCGCCATCCTGTCCAGTGAGAATCCACTGGCTGTGTGAGAGTTTGCGTGTTCTTGGGGTCGCCAGGACCCCTTGCTCCTGTCTGCTCCTCCGTGGCCTCTGGTAACAGCAGGTCTTGTTTGTGTTTTGTTTCATGGGCATTTCTTTCCCCCTGGTCTTGTCGTAAGTGTGGTCCGTTGTTTCTGTTTTTGCCATCTACTTGGTCTGCTTTTATGGGGGGATTGGGAAGATAGAAAAACTGTACTGCCAATTGCCGTCTATGCAGAATTTTATTACTTTTTTAAAGTGTGATAACGGTATTATGTTTTAAAAAAAATGTCTTCTTTGAGACAAACTGAAACATTACAAATGAAGTGAAATGTTATTGGGGATTTGTCAAAATGACACAATGGAGTGTGGTAAGAAAGGTAGGTGAAATAAGTTTTAATACCAATTTGTCATAGCATGTGTTCAATTTTTACCCCTCTTAATGATCTGTGTTACGTCTATAGAAAGGTGCATCTTGTATGTCCCGTGAATGGCGCCAGTGCGCACGTCGGTGCTGGTCATCGGCCTTTCCTGTCCCGCCTCGGTCGCCCACTCTTCCCACTGTGCCTCTCACTGGGGCTGCAGGTTGGCGCGTCTCATTCTGCCAGGATTACTGCATTTCACTCTCAACATAAACTTGGGTCTCACGCAGCTTTTCCTTCCGTATCTTGCTGTGCTTATCAGATAATGTAACCTTCCCATCTATACTTTCTTTAGGCCCAGTTGTGTTTTGAGATTCTGTTACCCTTCCTATTTCAGTGAGGGGCTTCATGTTAATTTGCATATTGTGTTTAATTAGGACTGCATAGTTATATTTTGGTGCTTAAAATTGATGTTTGTAAGCTTAGCTTTTTACAAGGTGCATTCTATCTTTCCTGGATATCTTTTGATAGCTTGTGAGGTGGAATTTCTGTTTTGGGGAGAATGACACCCACCTCATGGGATGATGTCCGGAGGAGCTAGATGAGGCCGTGCAGGGAAACCGGGGGTGCGTAAAGCCGGCTTCCTGTCGCTTAACTGGGTGTTCGGCAGATGCTTTGCTTTTGTTGATGTTTTGTTATCATTTGATTACCTATTTAGAATATTCATGTCTTTATCTTGTTTTTGTTTTGGGAGCTGTTTTATTTTTATCATTACTTTATGTATTTTTTAATTGTTTATTTTTTTTATGTTTAGAAATAAATAAAAGAATGTCTTGTGTCTTAAATGGCAGATAGCAGCTGATGAACGTCCCCCAGAAGGCTGTGCTTCATTTTTTTCAGTGCATGGAAAGACGACTTGTGATTTTGATGCCCTGGAGACCCTGACACTGACAGCATCTGAAAGGTAGGTTGTGTATTTGGGTTTTTATGTAAATGTCATGCATTTCGTTGTGCTTTCTTCTGTACCAAGTCCACCTTCTGATTTTCTTACGGGTTTCATTGTCTGCGGATAGAGTAGTGGGTCCGAGTGTGGAGTTTGGAACCAAACTGACTAGATTTGAATCCCAGCTGCATCACTTAAGATTAGTTTTGTGGACTTAGGCAGATCACTTAACCTCTTTTTTCTTATCTCACTTTGAAATGGAGATAATAAAAGTACTTAATATTTTATTATTTAGTATAGTGACTAAGAGATCACATAGGCTTCATCATATTAGTAAAGAATACTAACAAAATATACTAGGAAAGTATATTAAAGCCAGTGCCTGAAGTAATGAATAACAGTAATGATAATGATCTCTCAGGATTTAATTAGTTTCAGACAAAGAAGATATTCAAATGATAATCTTAAGCTTAATTTGAATATTAAATTGGTAACTAGTGGGTTGGTGTGTTTCGTCTGAAGGTAGGTCTCCTGCGGTGGACAGATGCAGGAGGTGCAGGAGAGCCCCGACCCTTTCGTGCCTTCTCTAGTGTCATTATGGACAGGATGGCCCGCGTTCTCTGGCGTGTTGCTCTGCCATGTCAGAAGGGGTGGAGCTTTTGGGTGGCATAGTTCTTTAGTGAGGTTACCTGCCCAGCACTTACCCTCTGCCCTGGGAGTGACGTGAGTGCTTTTAACAGGGTGACAACCACAAATGTCAGCGCGCATCCCAGAGATGTGGCTGCATGGTGAAGTCGTGTTCTCATGGGAGAAATAAAATTAATTGATTTAAAATATTCTTTGTTTAATTGGTTACAACAATAATGTAGACTTTTATGAGGGAAAGAGCGATAGTATCTCCTCTTCTGAGAGGTAGTAACCATTTTTATTGGTCTGGCATATATCCTTTCAGCCTTTTTTCTGTGGTTATGTTTTAGGTAGGTTATTTTCACAAGATGCATCTTCCTTTTAGTACATGGAGGGGTACCTCATTATTTTTAACACATGCACAATAACCTTTGTAAGAATGTCTCACAGTTGTTTGTCCACTACTGGTTTTTAGATGTTTCCAATTTGCAAATTTGCTTTCATTACTGCAGTAGGTTATGGTGATCATCTTGTCTTTTACCTTCTGTTAAATAGTTTATTATAAAATAGTTATTGTAAGAAAGAATAGTAGGTCTTAAAGTCTATGCATTAAGATCCTATAATACATTGGTGCAATTTTTAGGCAAGTTTTTTTGTGGAGGGAAGTTTTTAAATTTATGAGGAAAACTAATGTTAAACAGATAAATAAGATCATTTAAAAATGATAGAGAACGAGCCTTTAATTGGCAAGTTATATACTTAAAGTCATCCTTCACTTTCTTGCATCATTTGTACTATGTTTTCACATAAAAGGACAGTTATATTCTATTTATATGGTAGAGTAATTTACCAAAGTTTTAGTACTGAGATTGGGATATGTATCCTTTTCTGACTTTTTTTCTCCTTCTCTGGGAATTGGTGACAATTATTAATCAAAGTCTGCATTTTATAGTTAGTATTTATATAATGTACTTCTATTATTTTAAATCATGAATAAATAAGACTCATACCTGACAGAATTCTTACTTATTGAAAACTGAGACTATGATAGTCTTCATATTAAGATGTTTTATAGGTTAGCTGTACTCTATTTTGTACTGTTCTTAATGGTTTAAAACTTAATTTTTAAATTTTTATATTTTAATATTTATTTTTGTTAGGGTCCGGGCTTCCGAGGCTTCTCCAGAGAACAAACTACACAGGCATACAGATGCAAATTCAAGCAAAGTCTTTATTCAGCCAGCTAGCTGGGGTCCAGTGTCAGCCCGTCGCAGCGGGTCTCAACAAGGACCCCGAGCACTCAAAGCCAAGGGTTTATATAGCATTTTCAAAACACTTAACTCATAGTAATTTTCCACAGCTGCACATTATTCTTGCAAGACATACATCCTGGGGTTAGGCAGGAGCAAGATAAGACCACTCCTCAATTGTCAGGGAGGTTCTGCACGATAAGCTTGGTATGTAGGATTAGCTGACCAAGGTTAGCTGACTAAAGGCCACAGCTGCCCACCATCTGGTGTTCATGATTAGCTTGTTTTTCAAGGCCTTACCCAGTTCCAGTTTTTCTTTCTAAGTCACATACTCAGAAAATGGCTTCTAGGCTTTTAAGATGGCTATGCTTATGCTAACCTATTTCTATTCTTACAATTTTCAGACCCAAACCTTTATTGTTCAAAGGAGATCACAGATATCCCTCATCTAATCCTGAAAGTCCAGTGGTGATTTTCTACTCTGAAATTGGCTATAAGGAATTTTATCATTTCCACCGCCAACTTATATCAAAAAGCAATGCAGGCAAAATCAATTACGTATTCAGACATTATGTATCTGTAAGTATTGACTTGCTATATAACTATTTTAAATATTAATTTGCTCAGCATGACTTTAGCTTATAAGATAATATTTTCCCTTTCCAAGATTATTTAAACTACTTTTTTGAGAAGTATAATACTGTTATTTGCACATAGGAGGTGCTTTGCTTGCCTTTCTGAAGAAATGTAAAACAATTACACTTAAAAAATGGCTTAATAAATTTTATATTCTATTTCAAAATGAACCATGTAGATTATGTTTTCTAGACTTACAATAAGCATCATACCATGGAACTGTCTTGAGTTCAGTTCCTTAACAAGCTTTTTCTCTTCTTTTTGGAATCTTTTCATTTGGTGGAAGGGGCAGGGTTTCTTAAGAGGTGAAATCAGGCAGAATTGATTTAAAATTAGGCTCTTAAAATCTTGTACATTTAGCATTTAAAATATTTTATGTGTAGAGACTGTTAACCTTTAAAGTTCCTGTGTCATCATAAGCTCAGTAAAATTGGGTGCTAAATCCATGCAGGTAAAATAAAAATTCTTAATGAAAATTTGTGTGAGCAAAAAACAGCTGTGTCAGTATCCAGTTCTTGACAACTGCCTTCCCTCCCTGTGCCCCCCAGGCTTTGTTGCCGGTACTAAAGGTTAAAGTGTCTAAGGGCCCATCTCATTCAGGTTGGTGGTAAGCCTGTGACTTTTGGTCGGCCCAAACCCTGCCTGAAGATACTTAAATTCAATAAAAAAGTGAACACATGCACACATTTGCATACCTGGTCCCAACAAAGCCCTTCTGGGTTTGAAACCTCACCAGTTCACAACCCTGCTGTGAAGTTTCTGGAACCTGTTTTTCTCTTTCTCCAGTTCTTCACTGGAGAAGGGTTTGGTTCCCTTTGCCCTTTCAACTGTCTCTTCATCTAGTTTTGCTTCTTTCTTAAATTCTCATGATCATACTTGTGGCAGGATGCAGAGTGTACAGGAGGATAGGATTCCCGTGGAAGCTCTAAGCGGATTTTGAGTGCATAATCCTAGGTGAGGGCTGTGTGGTGTTGACCGGGTCACATCCTGTGCACCGTGGGAATGGGACGTACTCACTCTTCCTGCAGAATCCCAGGGAGGAGCCTGTTTACCTCTCCGGCTACGGTGTGGAATTGGCCATTAAGAGCACTGAGTACAAGGCCAAGGATGATACTCAGGTGAAAGGTGAATTTGTTATCTGAGACCAATGTGCTTTCTTTTCTTTAAATACATCTTAGAGGGGAATTTGTTTCTTTAATGAAAAGAATAGTTAGAAGTACGGTGAACCTGTGTTTGAATCCTGGTTCTGTTACATCTGAGTTGGGTGATGTTAAGCAAATTGTTTAGGTCTTAACTGTTTCCTCTGTAAGGTGCAGATAATGAAGTCTGCATCTTAAAGCATTTGTAAGGAGAAAATAAGATGTGTAGGTAAAGAATTTAACAGTTTTTTGCACCACAAAGTTCAGTATGTAGTAGCTATTGTTATTGACCATGTCAGTTCACAAATAGCTACCAATTTGTGACCCAATGCGAAATCTTAAACTATCATGTAACTAGAGAACAATATTATGTTTTTTATTATTTTCTGCATTTGGAACAGTTTGCTATGGGTTCTTCCTCTCGTAATTGTCTACAGTTTTGAATACATTATTTCAGTCATAGGCTTTATGTGCAGTCTTTTTATTTCTTCCTTTGAGCTCATTTCAAAGATAAAAATGATTGGTTTGGGTAAATGGAAGATAGCCTAGGACCTCTCCTTTAAATTTAAGATTAAGTTGCCTAATTGCAAATTCTTTAGCATTTTGATATTGAAAAATCCGTTGTTCATAATTTAAAGCTATTAGTTTTGAAATGTGTAACTGTAAATGTAAAATTTTCTAAATTTTTAAGGGGAGCAAACATTCTTTATGTAGAAACACTGGATATGTTAAAAATACATATATTCTATTTAAAGAACCGCTACAAAATGTTGAGGTTTAACATTTTAAATGGTGATATAATTTCAGGTGTTTCTATTTTTTTAAATATTATTCTGATTTTATGAGGTTAATAACATTTTTATTTCTAATCTGAGCAGTTAGACTTGTATTTGCTGTGCTTCTATAGGCACAGAGGTAAACACCACAGTGATCGGTGAAAATGATCCTATTGATGAAGTTCAAGGATTCCTCTTTGGAAAATTAAGGTAGGTATATTCTTTTGGGAAATGCCCTTATTCCCTTTAAACCTCCAGGCTTCCTTACAATGTAAGCATCATATTTCTCATTACTGTCTGAGTTACAGATCTCCTAAAAGTACTTTATATGTGTAACTTGATATTAATTTATAGTATGGTTTATGATTTCTAGTCATTCTGAAGTACGTCGTCATTGATATTATGGCTGCCTGTTTATGGAGTGCACTGATTTTCTTTTCTGGGCCTTGTGATTGGTGACATAGAGTTACATGCCACTTTCTGATTCATATAATAGGAGAAGTCTTAATTGTTTCTCTCAGTTTTTCCTGAGTAAGTTAGATGTATTTAGTAATCTACAAGGTCATAGCTATTTACTTAAGCTAAATACTCTATAGAGATACAGAAGAGGTGTAGTAGATTTTTTATGTGTTCAAGTGAAGTGTATTATTACCATTTACTTTATATGAAAAAGAATAGAAAGTATTTTTTTAAAGAAAATTCCATAACCATTTTATGACAGCATCATAGACTTTTATAGCTGGAAAATCTTCTTAGCTGTTATTTTACATGTTGCAGTTATTTCTCTTATGATTTGGTAATTGTTCAGAGCCCTGAGTTCTGCCATATTTGGAAATATGGGATATCTATAGTGTGTTTTTTAAAAAATTTTTCTTAAAAGGAAGGGATCCTATAATAATAGTATTTGTAGGCTCAGTTTCATATACTTCATCTTTAACATTTGGCCCAGTGAAATGACTTAACAGACTAACAGTTGGGTAGAGAGGACTACTTGGTTGATGTTAAATGACTGTGGACATGTTGAGTTCAGCCCATGTACATGTGTGTTTCCTTGTGTTTAACATCTGTTTTGGCCTTCTTAGTATTGAATCAGGTTCCATTTTTAATGGACCCATGTTTCCAGAATCCCTTTTTATATTCACATTTTTTGTGTTTGGTTTTTGGATAGCATTATGATTTTGTGTATTTCCATTACAAAGGTGGTATGTAGAATATTAAAAACACTTTCCTTTTTGGACACTCAGAATATTTAGCTACCAAAATAATTAGACCTTTTTTGATATTTTTATCATGAAGAAGAGTTTGTAGTAAGCTGATTGGATTATTTGGAACGCGAAGAATCTGAGTAAATACTTTCTGCATGTTGCATGTAAGACATTTTGAGTTCCTAGCATTAAAAGAACAGAAGTACTCTGCCAGCCATCTGTCATCTAACTTATATATCTAAACAATATTATCTCCGCCTCTGATAATGTTTTACCAGCTTTAAAAAGAAAAGGGGTCTATTTTAAGGTACAAGTAAACAAAACCCAGTCAACTTGGTTAGCTTGAATTGTATTCACGTGACTGAGAGAAGCATGCTGGGACTGGCAGCGTGCATTTCCCATTGTATTTTGAGAAGTTTAAGCATGGTGAGTAACACAGCACACCCATGTTCTCCCCACCCATAATTCACTGCTGCTCTTGGACCTGCTCCCCATTCCAAAACTATTTATCAAGTTTTTCCCCTCAACATATACCTTCTTTTACTTAAAAACAAAACAAAACAAAAGGAGAAAGCAGCTTGGTGAGTCAGCCCCCTTGCTCCCCACTCCTCGCCCGTGCCCCAACATAGAGAATCACTATCATAGTGATTCCGTTTTTAATCAGTGAAGTTTATGGTTTTTAAATTACAATTTTCCATATTAACTTATTTTTTAAGAAAAATAGTTTACTTTAATTTTTTCCCTATATCTTACGAATTTTCCTATTGTTAAGAGGGGAAATCATGAAGATGAAATTAGAACCAACTTCCAAGGGGGCCTTAAAAAGAAAAGATACATTAAAAAGACTGCTTTTCTTCCCTCCAGAGACCTGCACCCCGGCCTGGAAGGCCAGCTGAAGGAGCTCAGGAGGCACCTGGTGGAGAACACCAACGAGATGGCGCCTCTCAAAGTGTGGCAGCTGCAAGGTGGTAGAGCGGAGAGGAACCACTGGCCTGCTTTTTGTCTAAATTTTGTTGTATTAAAAAGTGTAAAATTCGAATTGTATTTATTTACATGATTCTGAGGGTACTCTAAGTTTTAAAGTTAGAATGATTCATTCTGATTAATCAGAAAAGAAAGAGCTTTTGCAGATAGTAATGCTGTGCAGAAGTAATGCATATAAGTGAGCATCTGATATTCTCTATGTGACTGGATACATAAGCCTGCAATTCTGGAAATGCATTGGTCTTAGTTTTTCTGTTTCTGTATGTATTTTCTATGTGTATACGTTTCTTAAACAGTGTGTCTATTAAATGTTAAAGGCATGTCAGCATGGCAGGACGTATGTGTGCTTTTCTGTTCCAAAAGAACTATTTATCAAGCTTTTTTTCTCACTCAAAGTGATTAACTAAATCAAATATTTTGCTGTATTTTGTGATATGTTGTAAATTCGGAGACAGGAAAAGGAATTGGAATGGATTTATCGTGTGCTAAATTATTTCAGAGACCATGGGTACTCTGAAATAATTGCAGTCTGTGGCATTCTTAAGTACCAAGAAAATAGTGGGAAATAAATGTGTTTCTTTCCTGTCTCTCATTACATTAAATTAATACACTTTAAATTTGATGTTGTTACAGATCTAAGCTTCCAGACTGCTGCCCGAATCTTGGCTGCTCCTGTTGAGTTAGGGTTGGTGGTTATGAAGGATCTCAGTCAAAATTTTCCTACTAAAGCCAGGTAATAATAGAGTAAGGCTTTGAGATGTTTTTCTTCCCAGCTATATACCCAATTACTTTCATGCTTATATGCGAAATGAGACAATGAAAACATGACAATACTTAGAAAATTAAAGTTCTCTGACTACCAGCACCATACTGCTAATGGTGCTGCCTTTCTGAGAAGTGACAGGAGCCTGCATTGTGTGGTTGAAGAGGCTGCTCTAGGTTGTGTTCTTGACACTGTGTGACCTTCACAAATAAACAGCTTCTCTTTACTTCACTTTTCTTCATTAGTAAAATGGAAATAATGATACCTACCTTTCAGGATTAGATGAGTTAACAAAATCTAACATGCAGATGTAAAATCTAAAGTCTAGCCTATTTTTTCTTCCTGAAGAGTTTCATTTATATCATCTTTTTAAGTCTTGGTGAAGAATGATTCATAGAGGCTGACTTGTTCATAGTGACAGAATAAACTTTAGACTGCAGCTCTTCTGATACTGATTTTAATTGTATTAACGGCCCTCTACATCTCATGAGTTGTTTTAAAAGCCCAATACTGAGAAACTAATGACTTAAATGATTGCCAGTCTTTTTCTTGAGTAGCTGAATGAGGTATTTTGGCTTCTGATGTGAGATGTTTTGTAACAATGTTTGTTAATTTCATTAGTCTTGGAAAATACTTCTTAGATAGGGCTTATAAATCCTATAGTACATTCTCCAATGGTCCAGTTGCTGTTGAACATAGACATGTGAGAATCTGCCTCTGCTGTAAATGCCTACATAGGATCAGCAGTCTGTTGCTTTTCTTAAACATTATTCCTCAGCCTATAAGCAGTGAGATCATGTACAGGATTAGAGTTACATATGTTTAACTTGCTTTCAAATGCTGCTATTACTGCTGCTTTTCCTTAGTGGTGTATCTTAAACAATAATGAAAAAAATATGTAGACATCTGAGAGGACGAGTATATTTATCAATTGTAAAGTTTAAAGTTTTTTCCATTTAGTATTATGTAATTTAGAGCAATGTGTTGTTTCATACCCAAGTATAGGGAGATTGAAGACATTTATATCAAATGTTAAACTAAGCACTAATAATGTTTTATTTTCCTTAGAGCAATAACAAAAACAGCTGTGAGTTCAGAGCTTAGAACTGAAGTGGAAGAGAATCAGAAGGTATTAACCAATGGAGAATAAGTGGCCTGTTTTGTATTGTTTCTTTAAAAATGAGGAAATCTGAATTAAATTGACATTTAACAGTTCACTCACCTTTTGTCAAAGATGGTAGCATTTTGATTTGTTTCTGTAATCCTTTTTATATTTTTAATCACAGTTGAGTATGAATATAATTCAAAGCATCAAATGGTGCTGCCACTTTGTTTGGGAAATAGCACCCCTCCTTAACATGTATTGCTCCCTTTTGTGTCCCTCTTTCCAGAAGTATCCACTTTCAACTCTTAAGCTATTTGTTTTGATACTTATCTCCAGAATTCTAACAAGTTTAAATTGGTACTGTGTTTCTCAGTTTCAAACCTATGTATTGGCCTCCTAGTGCAAAGATGAGGTTTAACTTTTTCTCCCTGCCCCTCTCCTGCATGTGTGCCACTACTCCGCGGCTTTCCCCCTGTGTCCACTTTCCCAGTGCTTTAACATTGTGATTTTTATCATTTTTGACCTGCTGACCTATGGACGAATTGTTCTTTGTGTCTAGTGCATACCAGTTAATCCTGGGTCCTTCCTTTAACCTCTTTTGTTGGGTCCCCTATTTCTTGAGCTCTAGGTTTTCTTTGTTTTTGGTTTATTCCCTTATTTTGATTTTGGTGCAGCACATAATTTTTCATGAGAAAAGTTGTTGAGAGGTAACTTTCAGACTCTGAGAAGTTAGTTTTCCGTTTGTTTTTGTTGATAGCTTGGCTTGGTATAGAATTCTAGATTGAAAGTCATTTAGAAGTTGAAAGGCTTTGCTCCTTGGAATTTTGGTTTCCATTGTGACTGTTGAGGAGTTAGAAGGCTTTGTATGAAATCTGGTTTTCTTCCTGGAGTCATCTAGGGTCTCTTCTTTGACCCTAGGCATCTGGAATTTCATAGTATTTCTTTTTAAAAACCTCTGTACTGTTGGGTGGCTGGTGGACCCTTTAATCTGGAAAACCACTTCTTTTACTTTTGGGAAATGTTCATGAATTATTTCTTTGCATTCCTTCCCTCTGGTATCTCTCTTCGGTTTTACTAGAAGTCTTCCTTCTTTATTTTTAGGATGTCGCACTTCTCTTTCCAGTTTTCCAATTCTTTTGCCTTTTATTTTTAAACTTCATGGGAAGGATTTTCAGCCCCTTTGTTGAGAGTTATTCTTTAGTTGTCAAACCTTTATTTTCCAAAGGCTATTGTTGTTCTTGGATTCTTTTTATGGTGTTCTTATTTCTCTAAAGATAATCAGTGGTGCATGTTGCGTGTTTTCTTCTTTCTTCATAGTCTGTTTCTTCTTGTACTGCCTTCCTTTTTCTCTTGTCTTTAGTGTAGAGGCTTTGCTTAGATGTCTGGCGCTCTGTGGTTGGCTGCTCATATTGAAGAGAGCGAGGTAATGAAAGGCTGGTGGGAGGCCCTAGGATGAGGCCTTGTGGCCGGGGTGGGGGGGGTGCTGGAGTGATCTCCTGGGCCACCACGATGACCGTGCCTTGAACCCTTTCCCCTGGAGCTGCTCAGTCTCCAGAAAAGAGTCTTAGTTTCCTGCCTGGAGGTGAAGGCCGGCTGCCAGAATGGTAGAAGCCCTGTCTGTAGTGGGGGGCATTCTGTAACCCCCACTCAGTGTCCTACTTGTGGGACCCTCGGCCTGTAGTGGTTCACTTCCCAGTGGTGCAGACCCTCTCTTGGGCTCTTTCTGTGGAATGGCCTCTACTTTCTGGGGAGGAGCGCGTCTTGAGAGCAGCCACCTGGCGGGGTGGAGTCAGCAGGGGAGTCTGGAGGGGGCTCTTATCACAAAAAAGGCTTTCGGTCAGAACCCTTTTTAGCCTGAGAATTACCCCTTATCCACGTGTTCTCTGTGCTAAGGAGCCTTTGGGTCCCTCCGCAGGGTGCTTGTGGCTCTGGCTGGCTTTCCCCCATCAGCCTGGTCTTCAGCTTTCTCAGGGTTGCTGAGACAGTTGCTGCTCACACATCTCCTTTCCAGCTGCCAAAATTAGTTGTCTTTTTTCTTCTATGCTCCCTTTGTTGTTGTGGATTTATAAGTTTCGAAAAGTCCCTTTTTAAAAAGATAACATTCCAGTAGAGTTTCAGGAGGGGAAAAAATGCTTATGTTCCATTTGCTATCTGTACCCAGACTTTCTTATCTTTACATTCAAGATATTAGTGAATTTAATAGATCTGAGGTGAGGAATAAGAAAACCAAATGGATCTCAAATGTTTACTGAATTTTAGAAACCTAGCTGGAAGTTTTTATTTACTTAGTTTTTAGTTTCAACAATAACAATACCAAATATTACTGTAATTTGAATACTTTTTTACTTCAAAGAAGACAAAACATTACATAAACTGGTGGTACTTCCTGGATTCTTCATTTTTTTGAATAAAATATGTGCACAGGTCCTAAATCTTTTTAGGGTGGTAAGTTTTCCCAGAGTGAATGCACTAGTGTTCGCAGTGCCCAGATCTAGAAATAGACACACGCTGTGACGAGCAGCTCAGAGAGTAGCTTCTGGCTGTGCGGTGCTGGCAGCCTGGAGTCAGGGGGTGGGGTTTTCTTTTTTACGTACGAAGCTCTCATTCTGAGCTGATACACCTGCCATTCAGACAAAGCCATGGCTACCTCATTGTTTTGTTGTTTTGTGCTTTTCCTGCAGTACAAGACCTAAAAGTTTATTCCCCTTGGCCCCCTGGCCCAGGCGGTGAAGGGAGCTCAGCAGGGCTGTCCCTCCCTGGCCCTGGAGCACTGAGGGATCGCTGCTGCCCCTGGCATCCAATGAGTTTTCCCTCTGCTGGGTGGCTTAGCTCCCTGTGGCGGAGAGCATGTGCGCAGGAGGCCAGTTTCCTCGCAGAGAAAGAGGAGTGAATCCCTTCGCACTGCCTCCCTCTTTTCAGTATGAGTGGGCAGCAGCTGCGAGGCCCCCGAGGCTGCGTCTTGGGGAGCGAGGTGGTGTGTGGGTGCTGTCAGCACAGCAGTTCCATGTTTCTCCATGTGAAGGTTTATGGAAGGTGTGGGGTTTTGGAACCCTTTTAGATTAGATCTCTGGACTTCGTTGATGGCTGTCCCAACCTTATCACCAACAGGGAAGAGTAACGTAAATCCTTTTATGAAAAGTTGACCCTCAGCACTTGGCTTATTTAGCAACCCTCCTCCCCACCCCCACATATAGGAACCAGCTGTATTAACCATTGTTAGAAGGGAGGGCAGAGAGGTGTATTTCCCATAAATCAGCAGTGTGTTATAATGTAGTAAGCGCTAACAAGGGTGTGTGGGCATACGTGAAAGACAATCTTAGCCCAGCCTTACAGTTTCTACAGTAAGAAAGAGGGTGTTAATATCTATACACATAATAAAGCCAGAAACATGGACATTTTTGCTAAGCATTCTCTATTTTTTAAAATATTTCAGTATTTCAAGGGAACTTTAGGATTACAGCCTGGAGATTCAGCACTGTTCATCAATGGACTTCATATTGATTTAGATACGCAGGATATATTCAGGTATGGATAGTATTTTCATTCTCTGAGAAGTTTCATAGTGTGTATGTTCAGATCGTTGTTCCTCCTTGAGGAGGCGTGTTGTGAAGCCTGATGGCTCACCAGGCCCAGGGGGCGCTTGTAGATATGCCCCTGTTCTGCCTGGGATGGCAGGGTGACCCTGGGCCACTTCTATCCTGATGGACATTTAGGACCTTGGACGTACAAGGCCCAGGTCCCTTTTGAGGATGCCCTTCTAGAGCTGTACTTTTCCTCTAACCCATAGAAAAGTAAAGAGCCTCTGGGAACAGTGTGACGTAGGTTTATTCACAATGGCGCCTCTAAGTTGGGTATGAATTCCCCTTTTACTCTGGTCGTAGGTGTGTGCACCTTATAAATTGAAATATAGGAAACATAGTAATGTGTTCTTTTGTTGTTTTTAAATAAACTTTCTATTTTGAGATAATTGTACTTTCACGTGCAGTTGTAAGAGATAATGGAGATTATTATTTTTGAAAACATGCACTGTTAAGTCCAGATTAGGATTATTTCATCCTCAAACTGAGTGTTTGTGTTTAGAGATAATTTCTATATGCAGTGTATTTGTTGATAAATATAAACAAACATGAACCCAAAGCAAGTCCCACCTGCTTTGTTCTGCATCTTGTTTGTTGACAAGCTGAAGCCAGGGAAGAGATTTCCTTTTTGGCTTCTCGACTAGTTTGATAGAGCATTGAGTTTGAATTGATCTTTTTTTTTTCATGGTGAGGATTTTGTTTAAAAGCTTTTTCTAATAAATATCTTTTTTTTCCCCAGTCTTTTTGATGTATTGAGGAATGAAGCTCGGGTGATGGAGGGTCTTCATAGATTGGGGATCGAAGGCCTTTCTCTGCATAATGTCTTGAAACTGAACATCCAGCCCTCTGAGGCCGACTATGCCGTGGACATCAGGAGTCCTGCAATCTCAGTAGGTATTTCCGCAGAGTGTCCAGGGGCCTCCAGCCAGGTATCCTGTTATGGTTTTCTCATTTGTCTTTCGTGAAAGGTAAGTACTTCCTACCAGCTCTTCTGCTGGCATCAAACAAAGATTTACAACAACTGCTGACTTGGGACTGTGTGTGTATGATAAAGTAGGCTTTCCTACATGCTTTGAAGAGATTGTGTTTCATGTGGTTAAGACAGTGATTTTCCCACTTTTATATCCCTCAAGGATTCAGCTGAGCATTTCTTGGCAAAGAGTGTTTCGTTTGTATATTCTCAGATGGATACAAATCTTGTGTAAAATACTCACTTTTAGCTAATGACCTTCTTTAAAAGGACTTCAGTCTTTTGTACGTGAAGGTTTTATGTGGACTAACATGTATTGTGCGGGAGGCTCCTGTCCGTGAGATGGTGGGGGGAGTAGGGCTTTGGTAATGGCATGGGGCACTCCTGTTCTTTTGTCTTGGTTTCTGTGCTGCATGGATTGTAGGACGACTGTAGGGACTTTTGTTTGAAAGAGAAAAAAGGTAGAATGTAGGTGGTTGTATTTGTGTTCTCACTGGGTGACATACTATTATTTTGATGAATACTGTTATGTCTTTGTTTTTCTGTTAAAAATGTTTTCAATTGAAAGTCTAAGACTAACATAATTCACAACCATGTGGCCCATACCTTACTTACCAAATGTTAACATTTAATCATTTTGTCAAAACTGTTGTTTTTTTGTAAGAAAAAAATATCTCAGTTGAAGCCCTTTTTAGCTGTCTCCCCAGTCCCACCTCCTCCTCCTGGCAGGTAATTCTTCTCTAAAATTGGCATGCTTTCCTCCTGTCCCTGTCGTATGATTTAAAACTTGGAAAAATGCCTGGCAGTGTCTTTCATCTTTTATTACTCAACAGGTTTTTCAAGACCTTTTAGGTTGATACATATAAATCTGGTTTATCATAGCATGTTTTATATTTACTTATTTTTTAGCAAATCTTTTATACATTCACAGTTCAAAATTTAAGACACACAAGGGTATGTTTGCAAAGTCTCATCACCCAGATTGCAGTTTTCTGTGCAGAAGCAACGAGCATTATTAATACTGGTGTGGTGCTGTGTGTTCACCTGGGCTCCCTCTGTCCCTGTGTCTCCCACCCTGCCTTACATACAAAGGACATGCTCTCTGTGGCTCTTCAGGGACAGTAAGCTGAATCCCAGTTTTTGCTGTGATAAGCAGTCCTCACATGCTCTCCTCGTAGCTGTCTTTCTGTGCATACCTGGGACAGTGTATCTGGGGCGGACACCCGGAGCCGGTGCCCTCAGTGGTAGGGTAGTAACAGAGGCTTCACCTGGGTGCGCTCGTCTGCTCCGAAGCCTTTCCTGCACACACCAGCACCAGGTGACACTTATTTTCCATTGCCCTGTATCTCTGCCTGTTGTTTGTATTGACAGACTTCTAAACCTTTTTCTGTTCAATGAGTGTGAAATTTCACCATGCTTTTAGTTTATGTTTCTCAGATTACTAGTGAAGGTGTACATCTTTCTTGTGTTAACTGCCTGTTTGAATTTACTCTCTAAGTTTCTTACTCATGTTCTCGATGCATTTCCATTTCTCACATGTGCCTTTTTAAACTGAGGTTATATCTCTATACATAATCTTGATACTAGGCATTTATTGCTTTTCCAGGTTGCAAGCGCCTTCTATTCTGTGGGTTGTGTTTTAGTCACTCATTTTTCTATTTGGTCTTTATTTTTGAAAATGTCTTTTCCCATGTGATTCTTAAAATAATTTAAAGTCTTATTGCTATTTTTGGAAATCCCACTAATGATGACTGAAATGTATGCACCAAGTTGTGTAATTTTTTTTCTAGTGGATCAATAACCTGGAGGTCGATAGCAGATATAATTCGTGGCCTTCTAGTCTACAAGAGTTGCTCCGACCCACCTTCCCTGGGGTCATCCGGCAGATCAGGAAAAACTTACATAACATGGTAAGGAAAGCTCTGGATGTCTGGCCAGGAGCTCCATGTGTCCTGTGCCCCCCGTGCCTTCTCCCTTTTCTGCCATGTCTAGAGGGTTCGCTTCGCTCCTTCACTAGTTGCTTCTACCCTCCGCTCCCACCACTACGTGTGCTCTTTCTCTAGCTGTGTGAGGAAGTGCTCTTCATCCTTAACATGAAAGTGGAGATTGTGTCATTTCAGTTTTAAGATAGTTCTTTTCATGTAGAAGGTGAATATGCTGCTGCTGTTTTTCTTTGATAACTGCATCCCTAAGGTCGAATCCCCCAACTCTCTCCCTTGCGTCACCTTTCCCTCGGCTCCTGCTTGTTCTCTGGCCCTTCAGCGTCTGGAGGCGCGGAGGGAGAGGTGTCCCGATGGGCCCTCTCTTCCCTGCCCTCCCCCTTCTCTTGTTTTACTCCTGAAGACCTGGGGGGTGGGGGACAGCTCAGGGCCGAGGTCTTTTCCTCAGAATGTGCAAGGGAAACTAGTCTCTGTACTTTTTCTCACTCTTGAAACTGCTTTTTTCCTTCCCAGTCAAAATTTCAATCTCCTTCTCTCTTAACCGTATGTCTGAACTTTACCAAACAAGGTGATTTTTCTTTTAGCTCATCGTGAGAGCTTAATACATGATACTATTACTGTGGTCTAAAATTGAGTTATAAATGATTTCTTAATTCAGAAATCCTTACAAATGAGTACACAAAAAGTAGTGTCCATATTCTAGGGTGAGAGACCTAGTGAAACTTGAGTTTTGTTAGGTGAAGGAGAATAATAGCTGGTAGCAATCTGGAGCTCAGTTCCCATGTTATTAGCATAAACCCCTGAGAAAATCACTTAGCCTTTCAATCCTGCATTCTTTGAACATCAAGGGAAGGAAACTGCTCCTTGTATAAAGCCTCTTTTATGCGGTTTAAGAGTAGCTGGAAGAAAGAGTACCTTCAAGTACAAAGACTAACAGCATTTTTATTGGCCCAGGGACACTTGAGTAAATGACATTTCCCGTGTGCTTTCCGTCCCCCTGCAGGTTTTCATAGTCGATCCTGCTCATGAGACCACAGCGGAGTTGATCAACACAGCTGAGATGTTTCTCAGTAATCACATACCACTGAGGTAACCCCGGCCCTGATTTGTGATATGTCACACTGAGATGAGGTTTTCTTTGTCATTCTTAAAGTCTGGTGCTACTGGATAATTAATAGTAGGATCATTAATGCAGTTGTATATTTTGTTCAGTATGAAGCCAGTATCTTTTGTAATAGAGAATTTGATTCTCAGTGAATAGAAGCTTACCATCATTGAATCAATAACCGTGTAAAAACAGTTTATGGTCTCAGCTTGCTTCCCAAGAGAAAGGAATTTTCCTAGGTAGAGTCCATATCACAATGCCTGTTCCTACTTTCAGTGGATATGAAGAGCTTTGCCCACAATTTTTGTTAGACTGTCAAGGACTAAACAGCCTTATGTAGATGGAGACACAATTACTTCACTTACATTGCCAAATCTACCGCCAGGGTGCCTGAGTGGTTGGATTTCCACTGTGCCTTTCAAGAGCAATGTTTTAGGATTTTACATAAGTATTAAGATATTCTCATTTACATTCTGAATAATGTCTGGTAATTTTACATATTGACAAAATCTGAATTCTTAGAAAACATGAAAATAACGAAGGAAAGAACCCTTTAGCTCACAAATGTTGCAGTGTGTTCCATACTTGGCACTGAGCTGAATGCTACAGACAGTATATAAGCCACATGCCTGCCTATCTCCTTTGGAAAAAAATACTGCCATACTTTGAGGCGGTTTAAGAAGTTATTTGATCAAGTACTAGATCTCTGTACTTTTTCTCACTCTTGAAACTGCTTTTTTCCATCCCAGTCAAAAATAACTCCTACGAGTTACAAGTCCTTTAGAGTTTCAGGGAAACAAAGATTACAGACTGAGGTATTTGTGAAGGACAAAAGTTTCTGGAAAAGTTGGATTTCAGTTAGGCTTTGAAGAAAACAGATGGCTTTCAGTGATGGAAAAGCAGAGATTTTGTTTAATGAAATTATTCATGTAAAACATGAATAACACCTGGTTAGATGGAGGAATAAGCCACTGAATTACAGCCAGAGCTGTATTTTGATTAAAAGGGAAATAAAAGGGCACAGAAGAAGTTGACTCATGGTACACAGTGGGCACTAATGAAATACTCGTTGACTTGGTTGAGGGACAGGAGGAGGGAGGGTGGTCTTGTGACGACAAGGGAAGGCGAGGCGGAGGCACTAACTCCCCGGCAACAGGGGGCATGTCGTGAGCCAGGGCGGACTGGCTGGGGTCCTCCTCTTTGAGTTGACGTGGTACACTAAGGTGTGGCCAGTGCCCAAGGAGAGGAGGGGGCAAATCTGCGAGCCTCCCTGGTGGTGCTTGATGAGGAGCTGGGCCCAGGAGAAACAAGTCTGAATTTTTGCGCTTACCTAGTGGAATGCTGATGCCCTTTCTAGAAATTGGAAGTTTGGGAAAAGGAATTTCTTTGCGAGGAGATAATCAGTTTCTAGACCTTAATTTTGTTTTCACAATAATAACATTTAGGTCATTTCTGTCTGGAGACTACTCATGATTTCTGTCAGAATTGGCATTTTAAAAACAAGTAACAGTTTTTATCTAAAAACAAACCCTCCTATTACCCCATTCACATATCCACATATATACATCATCCCAAGTGCATGATGTTTCAGATGTGTCTGTTTATATTTTCTTCTTCTTAATTTTTGGCTTATATCTTTTTTTTTTTTTTTTACTTAATAGACTTTCTGTTTTTTAGAGCAATGTTGAATAATTAACTGGTATTGAAATATTATTAACTGCAGTCAGTAGTTTGCATTAGGGTTCGTGGTTTGCATTGTGCATCCTTTGGGTTTTGACAAACATACAGTGGCACCTTTCCACCGTTAAGAGTATCATACAGATTAGTTTCACTGCCTTAAAAAAAATCCCCTGTGCTCCACCAATTTGTTCTTCCCTCCCTCCTGCAAAGCCACTGGCAACCACTGGTCCTTTCACTGTCTCCATAGTTTTGCCTTTCCATGATCATGATGTATGGAACTTTCCAGGTTGGCTTCTTTGACTTAGTACTATGCTTTGAAGAGTTCTCCATGTGTATTTGTGACTTGACAGCTCATTTCTTTTTATCACTGAGTAATACTCCACTATATGGATACCCCATAGTTATTTTTTATTCGTTCACTTATTGACAGGCATCTTGGTTGCTCCCAAGTTTGGGCAATTATGAATAAAGCTGTTATAAATATCCATGTGCAGGTTTTTGTACAGATTTAAGTTTTCAGCTGATGTGGGTAAATACCAAGGAGCATGGTTGCTCTATTTTATGGCAAAAGAATATTTGGTTTTATAAAGAACTTTTACACTGTCTTCCAAAGTGGTTGTACCATTTTGCATTTTTATCAGCAAAGAATGAGAGTTCCTGTTGCTCTGCATCCTCACCTGCATTTGGTGATGTCAGGGTTTTAGATTTTGGCTGTTCTAATAGGTGTGTAGTGGTATCCGTTTTGGTTTTAATGTCAAATTCCCTAATGACGTGACAAGCATCTTTGTATAAAATGCTTACTTGCCACTGTCTTGTTTGGTGAGGTACCAAATCTTTTTTTTTTTAACTGTTGAGTTTTAAGAGTTATTTGTATATTAGATATCAGTCCTTTGTCAGATAGTTTTGCACAGATTTTCTGTGACTTGTCTTCACTCTCTTAACAGTTTCTTTCATAGATCATAAGTTCTTAATTTAAATGAAGTCCAGCTTATCAATTCTTTCTTTGTCATGGATTGTGATTTTGGTGTTAGATTTAATAAGTCATTGCCAAACTCAGGATTTTATCCTGTGTTATTTTCTAGGAAATCTATGGTTTTGTGTTCTACACTTATGTCCATGATCCATTTTGAGTTAGTTCTGTGAAGGGCATTAGGTGTCTGTCCAGATTCATTGTTTTGCCTGTGGGTGTCCAGTGGTTGCAGCACCAGTTGTTGAAGGCTGTGCTTTCACCAATGATTTGCTTTTGGCCTGCCATGGAGGCTGTGGCCTCTACATTGCCCAGTGCCAGCTGTTTTTTTCCAGTCTGTAGATGTGTAATGGCATCTCTGTGTTTCATTCCTTTATTTGAAATTTTAAAATGTAATAAACTTTAACCTTGGTTGTAGCATTTTGCCAAAGGACAATAGTAAATATTTTTATGCTCTCCGTTTACCAATGATTCTCATACTGCATGTGTTAAGTCTCAAAATCACTTTTCTGTATATTTTCACATTCAGAAAATTTTAGCTACTTCTAATTTTTGTTTAAAAACAGAACATCTCTATCTACAGCTATAGCAGTACCCCTCCTGTCATTAAAGGCCTCATTTCCCCATATGGAAGCAACTTGTTTTAACAGTTGAAAAGTCTAAGCTACCTTTGGGACCCTGCTTTTTTATTCTACAAGTGATGAATGCCTTTGCCGGTTATATCAGAGTAGGATGTGAACTGTACCTTTCAGTGGAGGATAGTTTTCCTCTGTTAACTGTAATATATGAAGGGGATACAAGGATGCCATTCCTTTGAACCAGTTGCATTCTTTGAGATAAGTTTCTTTTTCTTCTTTTTGCCCTCCTACCTCTGCCATAGACTCGGCTTAATCTTTGTGGTTGATGACTCTCAAGATGTTGATGGCATACAGGACGCTGGAGTGGCTATTCTGAGAGCCTATAATTATGTTGCCCAAGAAACAGATGATTATCATGCCTTCCAAACTCTGATCCATGTATGTTTTCATCACGATGGCAAATAATTTTTTATATCTAACTTACTCTAAGAAACAATATGTGGTAAGAGGATCCTTTATTTCCATAAAGAGAAAAAGTAAGATAAATTATTCACACAAACTTTATGTGTTTATATTTCAGGAGTTGCCTTTACTTTATTCCCTTACCAGCGTTAATAATATATTGCTGTGACTTCAGCTAAGAGTCCTTAGGAGCCCTGATAATGTATCTTAGTCTTCTGCCTTCTGGTGACTTTAAATTCCTAAGTAATGCCTTTTGGTAAATGTGATGTTCTCTACTTGTTTTTAAAAAAGTTTGTTTTATTTTCCTTTAAGACCATCATGATATTTTTAGTAGGATTCAGTATAATATTCAGGCCATAAAATTTTTATTGTCTGTTTTCTCAGTTGAATTGGAGACTCTTAAATGCCCTGATTTTTATACACATTTAAGATGCTTATTCAAGTTCAAACAAAGAACTCTCCTTGTATTTTTTTTTCTGTTTTTTAATTTAAACATTGCAGTTCTTTTGTTTACAGATGAGTGCTGATTATTGAAATACTATCTTTAAAGTAATTGATTTCACCACTTATTACACGTATAAACATATTGTTATCTTGGTCATTCCATCTGTTATGTTTATTGTTCAGGTATTCAGTCAGGGGCATTTTTTGTTACTTAAAACATTCCTTTACTTACTAGGCTAACATTTTTTAAAATCCACCATTTTCCAGGCCTGGTACTAGCTGTGAGGACACAAAGAAGAGTGGGACTTCACCCCTGTCCTCAAAGTTCCTTCGTTCTGGTGGGGATGCCTCCACACGGAGAAATTAACACAGAGTGGGAAACACTGGAACCTCACTCCACTAGGGATGGCCGGTGGGACGCTGTCCCTGTCCTAGCTGAGTGTAGGAGGAAAATCAGGGATCAGTTAACCAATGGCTGCGTATCAGAAATACCGATATCCAGGTTGTTAGTATGGCCTGGGCAGACTATTTTAAGAGCAGAGTTGAGAGGGGAACCTGGACTTGAGGCCAGTAGGCTAGGTCCAGATCACAGAAGTTACACTCTGGTTAAATAAACCTCATTCTGGTGCGTGTATGGAGGTGGAGCTGATGAAGGATCAAGAAAGGGAGGGGCAGGGGTACCAGCTGACGAGCTGTGGGCTCTGAGAAGCGGTGCTGCCCGGAGGTTAGCGTAGGGCTGCAGAGAGCCAAACAGGTTCAGAACACGTTGCTGAAGAAAAATGCTTTAAAGTCCCTTTGGAAGTATTTTCTGCCTCACAGCTATGTGAAATTGTTTTTAATTGCAAAAGTAAAAATTTTTATTGTATGTTTATTATAAAAAAATTTTAAATCGACACAGTGTGTCGATTTAAAATCTCACCCTACTAAAACCTTTTAGCCACTGCTAAAAGGTTTTCTTGTATCATTGTGGTGTTTATCTTGTATCACAGATGTTTAACTGTAGTATATAGACAGTTTTGTTCATTTATTTCTGCTTTTAAAAAACAGGGATTATGCCATACCTATTTCACAACATTTTCCCTCTAAACACCATAGTCATGAGTTCTTATTTTAAGGATTACTTAATTTTCAAAAAATTAATATATTTTGCGTTAGGACTGAGTGTGAGTATGAACTGGTTGGGCCATTCTAAGAATATGTACTTTATAATGCAAGATGGCACCTTAAGGAGGTATGTGCGGGAGGGAGAACCGCTGGGATGTCCCATTGGACCACTTAAGCAAAAGAGCCGCATGTCCTTATTCAGAGATCTTCTATCATAAACACTCTGAAATTTGGGTTTAAAAGTATAGTTGGTCACATGGCTTTTCTATTTTTCAGATATATAACAAAGTAAGGACTGGAGAAAAAGTGAAAGTCGAACATGTGGTTGGTGTTCTGGAGAAGAAATACCCGTATGTAGAAGTGAATAGCATTTTGGGGATTGATTCTGCTTATGATCAGAATCGGAAGGTAAAATCCCTCTGGTGCTCTTATTCACCTGGCACCCTTGTACTTTCCTTACTTCCCTTCTTTGTGGGGATTGTTTTATTAAAGGTGGTAGTGGTTAATTAAAAAATTAAGAAAACAGATTACTTTTCTGTGTTTGTAAGTATAGTTTACATTTCAGTTATCATTGATTTTTAGCTGGCTTAATAGCTATTAAATCGAAAAACAACTTAAACCATTTTTTTCACAATCAGTGGTAGTACTTATATTCTGGATAAAATGTATTGGAAGTATATGATGTCTGGTTGCTGGGATATGATGTATAGCTCTGGGATATATGTATAAGTGTATCACTTACTTGGTTGTTTACACTTAAAGTGGAAATGTGTTAAGAAACGTAGTAAACACACAGCCAAGTGTGGTAATAAGGATATAGGGAAATACTAAAAAAATTTTTTTTAAAAGAAGATAGTGTTTCTTGTGAGACATTAAATACAATAAAAGTAGGAACAAGGTGTTCAGTTTCTTGAAAACAAATGTTAAGGCAAGGAATCAAAATATATTTCTGAAACATTTTAATTTAAAATAGTAAAAGTGTGTTTATTTACCAGTTCTTTTCTTTTTTCAAATGAAGGACAAGGCCTTTGGTTCTTCTGTTTGGAGATCTGAGCTATTGTTCTTTTAGCGACTGCCCTCATAATAAATCATTTATAATTCCTCTCTCATCTGTGTACAGAATCCTTCTAGACTTCTGTAGTCTCCCTCCTAAGTTGTGTGTATAGTTGTCTTACCTATTTCAGCATCAGCTGTTTTTAGCCTTTTACCTTTTAGAGTTTTTCTTGATGTTCAATTTGTGTTTTTAGGGAGACCAGCTTTTTCATTTTGGATTCATTTTATTGAGTTGCATAATATTAAATTATGTTTTTCATTTAGAAAAATAGTTGGTTTGGGAACAGACACATTTGATCTCTGGGAAATACATTTGGCTCAAATGAAGGGAGTCAGAGTATGTGCATTCTGGAATAGAGGCTCACCAGTGTAAGAGTCGAGCATACTTTAATAGCAAGGGTTTGTTGTGGTTAACTTAGTTAATTGGGATTGGTTAAGTTGATCCAGGTTTTAGAGCGATTAAACAATACTGTTTAGCAAGAAGAAAACACAGGAACTTAAGAAACTAGAGAAATTTATGAAGTATTTTAAAATAAGGAATAGATAATAATATTTTAATTTTAAATGTGTATAATAGTCCTGGGTAACGTCTTGGGCCAGCCCTGTTGCCAGAAAGTTGAACAAGTGGTGCCTGCTGAGGGGGTACACAGTGAGAGCCGTGAGGTTTGGCGACTATGAGCTTAGTAGCGTTCACACCTCCTTGGAGGAGGGAGAGCAGACCTGCAGGTTTGGGACAAGGTGACTGCTGAAGGCTTTCTGGAGGTGGTGACACCTATCCTGTGAATGAACATTTTTAGAGGGATAAGTGTGAAATAATTTTTAAAAACCCCATAGTTTATTATATTGTAAATTGATACTCAATATAAAACATTAAAATTTTGGCTCTCTACCAGTATATTCCAGCAGGTACATTCCTTCTAGCAGCTCATGGATCTGTGGGGATGACAGCCTGTTTGCCTTCTTCCTCTTTCCTATTTTTGATCGTGTGTTGTAGTGATTTTTTTTTAATAGCCAATGATGAGTATTTTACCCTCTGCTTTGTTAAGGCATATTGACAAGTTCCATTGTGTAAGTTTGAGGTATATAGTGTATTGATTTGATACAATAATTACCACATAGCATTAGGTGACATCCCCTATCACCTCACATAATTATCATTTTTTTGTGGCTAGAATGTCTAAGACCCACTCTTTCAGCAATTTTCAAATGTATAATAAAGTCTACTTAAGTGTAATCACCATGCTGTACATTAGATCCCCGGAACTTACTCTTACAGATGGAAGTTTGTACCCTTTGACCAACATCTCCCCAATTTCCCACCCCCAGCCCCTGGCAGCCACTGTTCTACTCTATTTCTAGAGTTCAGTTTTTTAGATTCCACATAAAAATGACATACATACAGTTGAATCTTAAACAATGTGCATTTGAACTGCATGGTTCTGCTTTTACACAGATTAAAAAAAAATTTTTGGAAAAGTTTTTGGAGATTTGTGTTAAGAACTATTCTCTAGCTTATTTTAATGTAAGAATACTATTCCCTTGAGATCTGTTAGTATTTGCTTAATATATTTAGGTATTCTGATGTTGGGTGCATACATATGTATTTAAAATTGTTGTATCTTCTCAATGAATTGACCCCTTTATCATTATATAATGACCTTTTTTGTCTTGTCACAGTTTTGGCTTAAACTCTAATTTGTCTGCTGTAAGTACAGCTACCCCCATTCTCGTGGTTTCCACTTGTGTGGCATGGCCTTTTCCATCCCTTCACTTTGAGCCATCTGTGTCTTTGAAGTTGCAGTGAATGTCTGGTAGGCTTGTATAATTGGGTCTTTTTTTTCATCCATCCAACTATTCTGTGCCTTTTAGTTAGAGAATTTAATACAGTTATATTAGAGTAATTACTGATAGGCAAGGGACATACTAATGCCATCTTCTTAGTTATTTTATCCCTGTTTTGTATTTTCTTTCTTTTTTTCTTGTGAATTGATGATTTTCTGTAGTGGTATGCTTTGATTCCTTTCTCTCTCTTTTGTGAGTCTATTGTAGGTTTTTTGTTTGAGGATTACATAATACATCTTACAGATAGACAGTTTAATACTGGTAACAACTTTAATTGTATATAAAAACTCTACCCTTTTACTCCTTCCCTCATGTTGTTGATGTCACAATTGTCCTCTTTTTATATTGTGTATTCATTAATAAGTTAATATCGATATAGTTATTTTTAATTCTCTTATTCTGTAACCTTTAGAGTTAACTGGTTAACATCACCATATTACAGCATTAGAATATTCTTTATTTGACTATGTATTTATCTTTACCCTGGCGTGTTATCTGTTTTTATGTCACCAATTAATGTCCTTCATTTTAGCTTGGAGAGCTTTAGCATTTCTTAGTGGCGAGGAACTGTCTCAGGTTTGCTTGTCTGGGGAAGTCTTTCTCTCTTTTTCATTTTTAAAGGACAGCTTTGCCTGGTAGAGTATTCTCGGTTGGCAGGTTTTTCTTTTAGCACTTGGAATATGTCATGCCACTCTTTCTTGGTCTTAAGGTTTTTGTTGAGAAATCCACTTCGTAGTCTTCTGTGGCGGGTTACAAGCGTCTTTTCTGGTGCTGCTTTTAACATTCTGTCTTTGTCTTTGATTTTTGACAGTTTTATTATAATGTTGAGGATCTCTTTAAGCTGATTTTCTTTGGTGACCCATGAGTTTCATGAACTTGGATTTTCAACTCTCTGTGCAGGTTTGGGAAGTTCTCAGCCATCATTCCTTTAAACAAGCATCTGCCCCCTTCTCCATCTTGTTTCTTTCTGGAACGCCAATGATTTGCAAATTATCTAGATGCCATTTCTTTCATTCTTTTTCCTTTGTTCTCCTCTGACTGGATAATCTCAAAGTTTGTCTTTTTTAAGTCACAGATTCTTACTTCTGTTTGATCCATGCTGGTATTAATACCATTTCACTTTTCATTTCATTCATTGTATGCTTCAGGTATAGGATTTGTTTGATTCCTTTCTATGATTTCTTTCTCTTTGCTTCTAATTTTGTTTGTTTTGTTTTCTTGATTTTATTAAATTGTCTTTCTGTGTTTCCTTGTAGCTAATTGAGTTCCCCTTTAAAAAGCTTTTTTGAATTCTTTATTGGGTAAATCACAGATATCCATGTCTTAGGGATTGGTTGCTGGAAGATGCTTGTGATCCTTCAGTGATGCGCTGTTCCTTTCTTGTTTTTTTGTGTTCCTTTGAGTTTGTGTTACTTTCTTTGCATTTGAAGAAGCAGTCACCTCCTCCAGTTTTTACCAAGTGTCTTTGGCAGAGAAATGCCTTCTGTTAGTCTTGCTAGGATTTCTGAGGCTTTCTCAGACTCTCTCTGGAGGCACCTGCTCTATGCGTGTCCTTCCCTCTGGTGCAGAATTCTTAAGCTTGTATACCTTTTCTTGATTCTACAGTGCATCAGGCTGGGTGCTGATAGCCCTCCTTCTTTTTCCTCAAGGTAGCAGTAAAACTCAAGTTTTTGTCCCTCTCTGGCTTGCACATTTGGGCCCACTTTCTGTGTTGGCTCACTAGCCACCTGGCAGAGCTCACTCTTGCTGCCACTGTTGGGAATGTGCACAGGGAGCTGGCTGCAGGGATGGGGAGAGTGTGGGAAAGGTGTACAGAGTGCTGGAGGTGCCTGCGAGCCACTGGGGGGAATCTGTGGGTGAGGTATCCCCAGCGGCTTATTGGCAGACTTCTTAATGGGAGTCCATGATGCACTAAGTAGGAGCTGTGTCCCTTAAATGTCCCCTGAGAGCACTGTCTGCTGCCCTCCCAGCTTACAATTCAGTACTCTGGATGGGGTGAGAGAGGAAGGAGCCCCTTTGGCAGTGCCCCACATCGCTGGGGATGTCTGGTGCTCACTCACTTGTTCTCACTTCCCCCTGCAGAAGAGAGGCTACGCTAAGGTGCCTTAGGGAAGGGCTGATGTCAATAAAGTCAGACTGTTCTTATGCTCTCCAGCGGGTCCAAACTGGTATTTTTTTCTCCAGCGGTGTGCTGGAACTTCTCTGCTGAAAATCTGGACTTCCATAACAGCTCTTGTTCATGAGTGATTGTTTAAGACAGTTTTTTCTAGGGGTTCCTAGGCTGTGACCGAGGGGCTGGAGCTGTCCATGGCCAGTGCAGGGTCCACAGTGAGGTCTGTATGCCTCTTTCCTGATGCTCGGGTCGGAACACGTCTCCTGGGTCCCTTGGTGTCTGGTGCCAGAACCCTGAGCTCCACAAAGGTGCTTTTGTCCTGCATGAATGCCAGTTGTTGTTGGGGGTGGGGGTACCCTGATAAGATACTCCTTGTTGAGCAACAATGCTGATGTCATTCCTCTTTAGTGTTAAATCTCCTTGCTTTAAGGTACATTAAGACAGGTATGGAGTTGAAGCTGGGCATGAGTTCTATTCAGTTTAGACTGAAAATGGTTCCATTATTGTATTGCAGCCTCTGTTCAGTCACTTACCTTTTATGTTTTTTTAAATAAAATAAAATAGATATGGTTCCCAGTGATTTTCCAGTTTGACACAAATAGAAACAGCAAGAATAGTAAAAGACTATGTGAAATAAAAGAAGGGTCACTTTGGGAATACCAAAGACTTGAAGGAATTCATAAAATTTTCCCATATTTCACTTTTGGAAAATGTTTAACTCTTTCATCCTATTAGAGGAAAAATACATGGTGCCTTTTTATTGTGGATGGTTGCTGTATCACAGGATTTCCTGCTGGATAAATAGGAAAAGGGTATTTTTTACATCTTTTATGTGTTAAAATCTTGATTTTGCTGATGAATCGAACGGGAGGATCACAGAGCTCACTCCTCAGGAGTTTCCCACAGCTGGCCATTTTCCTCACCCGTACTGATTAGAGGCCCTTCCCATGTAAACAGATCATCTTATTGAGTATGTGCCACTTAATGTCCTTGCTATTTGAGTGGACATACACTTTACAGACAAGAATGTGAGATTCTCAGGAAGCTAAGAATCTAATGATTAATAAGAGTTTTAAAACTGCAGGAGCTGTTCCCCCTCGTGAGAAAGCCCAAGAAAATAGATTCTGCAGAAGAAAAGTTTTGTCTTAAGGGGGAATGAGTTCATTTAGCAAATGTTATGCTTATGAATGTCTGTACCTTTTGTTACAAATGTGAAGTTATAGCATGTATCTCTGATATTTGAAAGAAGTAATTATTTCTAAAACTAGGCAGTACAATTAGAGTAGACATTTTAAGCTGAAAAGAATAGTCTGATGGTATATATTTGTATCTTTCAAAGCCATTAATATAATGAAACTTAATAGAAATTCTAACTTATGCATGTGAAACCCTTGTATTTGCATATTAACTCCGAGTCATTATCAAGCTCAGCCACATCATTCACAAGACTTTGCCTTAATTAATGTTTTTCATTTATAATTAACATTTTTAGTGATCAGTTGGTAGATACTCTCACATATAATTTTTAAGTTTGGTTCTTTGATAATTGGGCTGTGTTCTGCTATTTGGTCTGGTAAACTGTTCACAGATCGTAAAAAAAGGAAGGTGTATAGTCCAGACATCTCCCTCCTATTCCTACGCACTCAGTTGCCATTTCCAGAGAGAACCAATGTTACTTACTTCTCACTGTCCCATATGTGGGTTTTGTTTTGTTTTGGTGGGGGAAATAATGTTCAAAGCTCAAAGTACATTAAAATTGAGTTTTTATGAAGGTCTAATAGTTGAGACATCAGAGAACTTAGTCGACATATAAGAACCTTGGGAGTGGAAATTTTAAAAGTTTAAATGATGATGCTAGAAACCGGAAATCAGCCTAGCAGGTCTCTCTGTCTGTGTGCCACTTTATAGTCTGTCAGGGAAGTCTGTCCCATCAGTTAGGACAGCGGCTGGATCCATTAGAAACCGAGCAATCTATTGCCAGTCTCTGGTGTTAGTTGCCAGCTGAAGTGCTTCTCTGTTTGTGATAGCTATTAAATCTGCTTTTTTCAGAAAATGTCAGTTATAAGATGTTCAGCAAGAATATTTTAAGGAGTCCTTTTTACATCTTGTTTAGGTCATATGTTTTACACTGAGAACTTGGGCTTGAGTCTGCAGGTGACGTCTGAGGGAAGTAATGTACCTATATTGACAGGGAAAAGTGTCCATCTTCCATATATTTGCCATTTTCTTGGCCTGGCATTTCTCTGCCAAGGAACCAGTCTTTCGTCTTGGAGAAGAAAGATTGGGCTTACAGAGCAATTTTTAAGAACTCTTTGTCCGCCAACTTTGTTTTGTTTTCTATAGGTATAAATTCTTGACCCTTTAAATTTAGAGTTGGGCAAATGATTCACCCCGGCTGTCTGCCCAGAAGCACTCACAATTCGTGGCATTCTGTAGTCGTGCTGCCCGTGATGGTAGCCTCTAGCCACATGTGGCTTTTAACATGGAAATTAATTCCAAGTGCTTAGTAGCTGCGTGTGGTTAGTGGCTGCTGCGTTGGACTGTGAAGGTAGGATATCTCCATCATTGCAGAAGCGTCTGTCATAGAGTCCTAGCTGTGGTGTGTGTACTTCAGGTTTGGTAGTCTGGGCTACTTAAAATTACCCCTTACCCCCAATTTGCTAGATTTTGTGGTTTTATAAAAACTCAGAAATATAATCTTTAACATACTCAACAGGAAATTAACTATGATGTCACTTTTGATGTTTTTAAAAAGAAATTTCTTGGGTTATTTCCTTTTTCTTTTTAATTGAAGAGTACTTGATGTATGGTGTCTTAGCTTCATGTATTCAACATAGTGAATTTAGTTATTTCTTGGTGACCTTATTTCTGTTTACTTCTTTTTTCTTGTTAGAATATGTATGTATGAAAAAAATGCTGTGTTCCATCTGTGTTATGAAGGACAAAAATGTGTGCATTGTGTTGTTGTGTTTCAGGAAGCAAGAGGCTACTATGAGCAGACTGGCATCGGTCCCCTGCCTGTCGTTCTGTTCAATGGAATGCCTTTAGAGAAGGACCAGCTAGATCCGGACGAGCTGGAAACCGTCACAATGCACAGAATCCTGGAGACCACAGCTTTCTTCCAGAGGGCAGTGTACTTGGTGAGTGGTTCTCTCACGGCTGATTTTGAAGGACAGCGGTTTGCTTACATTTTTGTAGTCTCTGAGGTAGGTGATAAAATGCTTATCACTGGTTTCTGCTCACCACTTGTAATTGGTTTGTAGGCTTCCAACAAGTTCAGCTATAATGAAAATAGCCACAAGACTTTCTGTATGTTGTATTTGAAATAGCTAGTTTTATTGATTTCAGGATTAAAGGTTTATTTAAAAAATTCTAAAGAACTGAGCAGTTCTAAGAGACATTTGTTCTACTTGTTAGGAATTCCCTTAGGAAAGACTCAGATATTTTATATATATAGTTATTGTTGAGACATAATTTACGTGCCATGAGACGCAACCTTTTAAAGTAGACAGTCGACTGGTTTTTAGTGTATACACAGTTATGTAACTGTTAGCTCTGCCTAAAGTTCACCCTCAAAATAAAGCTGACACTCAGTAGCAGTCGCTCTCCATTTTCCCCTACCCCCAGTCTGATAACCACAAATCTGTTTTCTGTCTCTTTGGATTTGCCTGCTTTGGACATTTTGTAGAAGTGGAATCATACAATATGTGATCTTTTGTGACTGGTTGCTTTCACCTAGCATAACGTTTTCAAGGTTTATCCTTATTGGAAAGCATTTGTCAGTACTTCATTCTTTTTTATGTCCAAATATATCAAATGGCTCTGCTACATTTTGTTTATTCATTCATCAGTTGAGGAATATTTGGGTTGTTCTCACTGTTTGCTATCATGAGTAATGCTGCTGTGAACAGTATTGTACAGGTTTTTGTGTAGACGTATGTTCTCAGTTCCTGGGTATATATACCTAAGAGTATAATTGCCTGCTTATGTAGTAATTCTAATTTTAATAGCTTGGAACTATTAAAACTGCTAGACTCTTTTCTAAAGTGGCTGAACCATCGTACATTCCTATGAGCAGGTTCCACTTTCTTTACATTCTAGGCAATACTTGGTATTGTCTGTCTTGATTGTAGCCTAGTGGGTGTAAGCAGTATATCATTGTGGTTTTGATTTTCGTTACTAAAACATGAATGATGTTGGTCAGTTTCTTGTGCTTACTGACCTTTTATTTCTTGTTTGGAGCAATGGTCAGATTATTTGCCTGTGTTTAATTGGGCAGTTTGTTTTTTTGAGTTGTTACAGTTCAATCTGTATTCTAGATTTTAGTCTATTACATATATATGACTTGCAAATAATTTCTCTCACTTTGTCATTTGTCTTTTCATTTTATTGATGGTCCTTTAAAGTACAAATGTTTTAAATTTTAAGTCCAATTTGCTTACTCTCTTTTCTTGTTTGTGCTGTTTGTGTCATATGTACGTCACTTAATCCTAAGTCACAAAGATTGATTACCTGTGTTTTCTTTTGAGTGTTTCCATAGCGTTTTAATATTTAGTTCTTTGATCCATTTTCAGTTAATTTTTTGTATATGGTGTGAGGTAGGGGTCCACCTTTTTTTCCATATCCAACATGTAATCAGATGTCTTTTGGGATGTTTAGTTGTCTGAGCACTGTTTATTGATTTAAGTTGTCAGGGCACATTTGTGAAAAATAAGTTGACCATTAATGTATTGGTTTATTCTTGGACTGTCATTTTCCACTTAGCTATACATTCGTTCTCATAAGTACCTTACTGTTGTAATAAAGTGTGAGTTTTCCAACTTTGGGTCTGTCTCTCTCTCTTTTTAAGATTATTTGGCTCACCTGTGTCCCTTCATTTCCATATAACTCTTAAGATTAGCTTGCCAGTTCTGCAAAAATAGGGCCATTGGAATTTTGATAGGAATTGTATCTATTTGTAGAGCAATTTAGGAAATACATCTTAACAATACTGAATCTTCCATCCCATGAATACAGGGTGTGTTACTTTGTTTCAATGACGTTTGGTAGTTTTTAATGAAGTCTTACACTTCTTTCAATAAATTTATTCCTTAATATTTTATTCTTTTTGATGCTATTATAAATGGAATTTTTTTCTAAACTTAATTTTTGGATAATTCATTAATAGTGAATAGAAATACAATTTATTTTTTGTGTACTGATCTTATAGTCTGCAGCCTTGTTGAACTTGTTTATTAGCCATAATAGCTTTCTGTGGATTTTTCTTTGACATTTCCTCTGCAGGTGACAAGAGCATAGTTTCGATTTTTTCTTTGCAGTTGGGATGCCTTTTACCTCTTTTTTTTCTTCTCCTTTTGTTGTGTGATTGCCTGGCTAGAACTTCTAGTGCTATGCTGAGTAGAAGTAGTGTGGGTGAACAGCCTTGTTTCGTTCCTGATTGTAGCAGGGAAGGCTTTATTTAGTCTTTCACCAGTAAGTATGTTAGTTGTGGGGTTTTTGCAGATTCCCATTATTAGGTTATGGAAGTTTCCTTCTAAAGCTTGCTAAATGTTTTTTAAAACAGCAAAGTGCATTGGATTTTGTCAAATTCTTTTTCTGTGTCTACTGAGATGCTCCTGTGGTTTCGTCCCTTAGCTATTAATATGGTGTATTATGTTGGTTCATTTTATGTGTCGACCTAACTTTGAGTTCCCGGGGTAAATCCCACTTTGTTCTGCTTTATAATTTTTTCTATGTAATACTTATATAGTTAAACTTTTTGTACCATCTTAATTTATGTTGTATTGTCCTACAGATTACATTTTTCCACATTATATGCCCATCAGCACTGATTTATAACTTTTAGTGTTGCAGTTGTCTTTTAAGTGAGATAGAGTTAAAACAAAAAATGTATCTATACTCTATATTTATCCATGCAGTTACTTTTACCCTTACTCTTAATATTTTGTGTGGATTTGAGTTACAGTCTTGTGTCCTTTCATTTTAGCCTGAAGGAATCTCCTTAGTATTTATTGTCGGTTAAGTCTGCCAGTGAAAAATCCTCTCTGTTTTTGTTTATCTGGAAATGTGCTCATTTGCCCTTCAATTTTGAACAGTAATTTGCCAAGGCATTGAATTCTTGGTTGACAGTCTTTTCCTTTCCGTACTTTGAATGTCTTTCCATTGCCTTTTGATCTCTATTGTTTCCCTTGAAAAATAAGCTGTTAATCTTATTGAACATCTGCTCTGTGTGATGAGCCTCTTCTCTCTCACTTTTTTTATGATCCTTTCTTTGCCTTTCACTTTTGACACCTCACTAATCATGTCTAGATGTGGAACTCTATGAGCTTTTCCTATCTGGAGTTCATTATACTTCTTAAATTTCAACTTTAGGAACTTTTCAGCCGTTATTTCTTCTGGTAATCTTTCTGCCTGTAGTGACTACTGTCACCAAACTAGTCAGAGTTAAGCCAAATTTGATGGATTAAGGGCACAGTTCTCCACAAGATTGCCCTCATTTCAGACACCAGCCACAAGTTCAAGGGCCCCCAGGCCACCCTCACCTATGATCAACTGGTTCTGGGTTCCCAATACCCTCCTTAGTTTTGATGATTTGCTGGAACAGCTTACAGAACTCAGGACAGTGCTATACTTAGGATTAGTATTATTTTAGTAAAAAGTACTAATCAGAACCACCCAAAGGGTGAGAAGCATAGGGCAAAGTTCGGGAAGATTACCAATGTAAAGGTTCTTTTGTCTTTTCCCCATGAATTCGGGAAGTGTTACCCCCTTGCTCACTGATGGTAATAACGCTTGGGCTGTCGCCAGCCAGGGAAGTCCAGCCATGCTTTGGTGTCCAGAGTTTTTATTGAGGATTCATTAAATAGCTGTGATTGAATCATTGGCCATGTGGTTGAGTTTCTGGAGGTCAGACTGATACTTTGCTGTAAAAAACCCCAACCCTCTAATCATGTGTTTGGTCTTTTTGGCTTGAACAGCTCTGTGATAAGTCATCTTATTCGCATAAACTGTCTAAAGGTCCAGCGTGAGTAACCCCATTAGTGTACCCAGTGTGGGCTGAGGGGCCTGCCATGGATAACAAAGACCCATTAGCATCAGGAGACTCCAGGATTAGAGGTCATCTCCCAGGAACCAGGGAGCCAGCCAGATTCTTTGTCACGCAGTGTCCCTTTGTTTCTCTCCTTTCTTTCTGGATATGTGCATATGTTGATACTCCATAGTGTCTTACAGGCCTTCTTATTTCTGTTCCTTAGACTTGTATCTTCAGATTCACTGTATCTTCAGATTCACTGATTCCTTTATCAGCTAAAATCTGCTATTGAGTCCTAGTGAACATTTCATTTCAGCAATTGTAATTTTTAACTCCACTTATTCAGGTTCTTTTCCATAATTTCTTTCCCTTTACTGATACGGTCAATTTGCTGAGACATCAGTCTCAAAATTTCCTTTAGTTTGCTAGACAGGATTTCCTTTAGTTCTTGGAATATATTTGAAGTAACTGATCTAAAGTCTGTGTAAAGTCCAGTGCGTGGGCTGTCTCAGGAACTGTATGTACTAGTTACCTTTTTTCCTCAGTGTGGGCCATACTGTTTTCTTTTTTTGCAGGTCTCTTAAATTTTTGCTGATAACTGGTTATTTTAATTAATTCAATGTGGCGTCTCTGGAAATCAGTCTGTGCCCTATCAGGCTTTACTGTTGTAGCTGTTGTTTGTTTAGAGACTTTCCTGTGCCAATTCTTTAGTTTGTGTTCCTTGTCCTGTGTGGTCTCTTAAGTCTCTGGTTGGTAGCTTATTGGTCAGCTGATGAATAAACAGGTATTTTCTTAAAAGCATGAATGCAAAGAAGTTTTTCCCAAGGGTGTCTGTGTACATGTTGGGACAGGCTTTCAGCACTCAGCCAGGCAGTTTACAACTGTCAGCCTTCAGCTCTTGCTTGCATAGTTAATGGGAGGTGTGAATTTAGGGTCTTCTAATATTTTTACTGGGCATGCTTAGCCCCCTGGGCACCATGCATGAGGCTTTTTAGATCAAAGGAATAATATGAGAGCTTTTCAGAGCCCCTTAAGGACATTTCATTCCCCAGCTTTTTACTTCTACGTTTTTGGCCAGCTTCATGTTTGCCCAATTGTTATCATCACTTC